GTGAGAAACAATAGGAAGGAGACACTGAGGAGTTCAACGTTCAGTAGTAAATTCAGAGACTGTCTGGATATGACACAAAGCTTGGACAGCAGAAGTTTATTTGCTTAGTGTAGCCCATTTTATTTTAATGTAAGCAAAGTAGATAGGTTGTTTGTCTTAAAATAACACTGAGGTGCCAAGTAAGTAAGTATGTAAAGTTTATTTGTATAGCACCTAAGTGTTTCACAATAAAATGCGATACAATACAACAAAGTAAAATACAATGCATGAAAGACTTTAAATACATATGGAAAACGTAGAACAAACAACCATAAAAACCCCTCGTCTAACTAAAAGCCTGCTTCAATAGCAGAATCTTCAGCTGTTTTTTTTAAAGAATCAACAGAATTCACACAACGTAGAAAGGCATTCCACAGCCAAGGTGCCACACCTAGGAATGATCAATCCCCTCTGGTTTTAAAATGAGTGTGGGGAACCACTAACAGCCTCTGACCTGATGACCTCAGACTACGGGTGGGAGTATGAAGCTGTATCAACTCAGAGATGTAGGGAGGAGCTTGACTGTGCAGGGCTCTAAAAGTAAGGACCAGGAATTTTAATTGAATTCTATACCGGACTGGTAAAGTGCTGCTAAAACAGGTGTGATGTGCGCTCTTTTGTTAATGTGAGTTAAAAGCCTTGCAGCAGAGTTCTGAACAGCCTGGAGACAGTAAAGCTCCCTCTTGCTCAAACAAGTAAAAAGACTTACAGTAATCTAAATGACAGGAAATAAAAGCATGAATGATCATCTCCAACTCACCCTTTGACACCAGTGTTCTTAATTTGGAAATATTTTTTAGTTGGAAGAAACAGTTAAGTATATGTATCGCACATTGAAACAGTTTTTTTCAAACTGTTGTCATTCCTCCTATTCATACTGGCTATTAAAAGATCCCTTCTTGTGCTTTTAATGTAAGCAATCGAGGATGAAATCCACAGCCTTAGTGCTAAAAAATATTCTAAAGATAATTTGAGTGGATATCTTCCAAAGTTACTGTCTTCTCAGAACAAAACACCCTTGTTCTCTTTCTCTTTGTGTTACATTCCCTCCCCAGCAGCTAGTCACACAGGGACTCAAAGAGGGAATATGCTTTATTACTATTATATATTTTCAAGCATGTGTGCATTTTTCATTTTGAGGCTGTAGGGACCACCAAGTAACAACACCATCTTCCATTTAAAATATCACTTAAGCACATTAAGAGAGTTCAGAAGTATTGCTCTACAATGTGGGTGGAAGTAGTAGACTTGTAGTATGTAATTACTGTACATATTTATGTTGAGTACATCACTGATCACACGTTTTGTATGTAAAATCCTAAACTGTGAAGTAAATGATCTGAAATAACATTCTGTTTAGCTCTATCTTAAATGGCCGCCATGCTGACACCGTACGGAGCTCATTATTTTTAATTAGCTCTACTTCTTTGTATCGATTTTGTTTCTTTGACACACACCGCTTCGTGTTCCAACAACTATTTACGATGCTCATAATGTTAAATGCTGCCACCATAGACCAAAGAGTAAAAGCCAGGAGAGCTTGTGAAAGAGGTCCTTACTGAAAGGTGAACAGCAGGAATCTGTGAAGGAGAGCTGTTGAATGACATTGGGAAATCGTTGGAAATTAAATGAAGTGGGTTGCAGGGATGGAAAGAGCACTAGAATATTATACTCAAGTAAAAGTTATAACTGTTTACCCGGCAGTTGTTTTTTTTCTTCAGTCAAATTTTGGTTGGGTGTTTTCGTGGCATTACATTTGCTCAATTCAGAGTTTGTCCTGAAAATGTTCTCGGTAATGTTCTCCCTCTCTGGGTGTCATTAGTGTTCCAGTACTAGAAGAGGTCAGTTGTTTCATTTTGCTCATGCACTCCAGTACTTTCCAGTCAATCATCTGGATAGTAAAATCATTTACAAGAGGATGTTAATAATCCAAGGGCACGCCTGTGTAAATATTTCACATGACAGTATAGCAGAACAGGCAAAACTTTCCTTCAAGTGATGCGTTCATGCAATTTATCAGACTGGTTTCAGATACACCAAGAGCCTCCGTTGGCATACAAAAGCTGAAAGAGACAATTTTCTGCCTTCTGCCAGAATAAAGTGCTTACATCGGATCTCTGTATTAGGTTGCTGTTTTAGGCAGGTGAATATGCTCTTGTTTTCTATGATTCTTGTTTTCTTTTTCTGACCGTCTCAGACTTCCTCTGGAAATATTTGACTCATTTTACACAGCTAATGCATACAAATCCTCTGACTCCACCTCCCTGTGATGTCTGTAAATAAAAGGGAATGTAAAACAGAGAAAAGAGAAAAAGTCTCCTCTCTCTATAATGTGCTGTTTTTTTTTAAAAAAGCTCTCAGCCCTTCAATGCTAAGCATCAGTTCCAGGATCTATTTCATTTTCTGCCATTTCAAAAGCATGTCCTCCCCAGTTCGTTGTGCTGGAGTAAAGGGAGACTCGAATTACATTCACACAGAGGTCCTCGACCCCAATTCTGGACTGTCTAAATGACTGCCTGAGTCGATTTCTGCCGGGTGGGTCTCGCAGAGTGGAGCTCATCAGATGACAGGCCCCTTTGTCAGCAAGACCTCTCAGAAGTTATGTCAAATCATGTAGTCCTGCTCTTCCTCCCACGCATGGATAGCGTCCTTTATCTGCTTATTCTGGTCTGAGGATTGTAATGGGAGTTATATTATAGATATATTGCTATCACTGTATGCATGTGATGACTTATTGAAATATATAAACATTTTAACCATAGTATAACTGCATGGGAAAAACAGCATTTCAGTATACTTTATGATGCAGAACAATATCAACAAGTTGGAATTTCTACTGAACCTTTCGCATGTACAGAGCATGTTAGTGTCTTTCAGCTCATTGTTTTGGTTTTACGTCCCGCAGCTTTACTGTTGGTTCACTGTCACCGCTCTCATTAACCCCATCTCCAGCAGCAGTAGCTGTTTTCAGTGAAAAGGCTTTGATAAAGCCACTGTACCCAGCACCAAACACCAGATAGTGTGAGTTTGCGAAAAGCTGGCGAACATACTGGATTTTTTAGCAGCAAAAGAGCCAGATATTTCCCTGAGGAGCTGGTGGAGACCAAAACAGAGATATAATTAATGCTAATGTTGCTAATGTGTCTGCTAAGTGTGTATATTAAAGTGTTTTTGCGACAACATAACACATAACTGTCAAAATTAAATGAATGTAGGTTTAAAGAAAATGTCTCATATTTTGCAGGAACATTTTTCTTCCAAATATATAAACAACACAAATAATCACAATCAACAGGATAAATCTTATTCACCCCAAAAAAGGAACTAACTGAAATTTTTTATTCAGCAAAAATGTGTAAGTTGGACTGATTAAAGAGGAGAGAAGAGAGGATGAATATCAGAAGGTAAACAGTCCTTGTTGTCTTCCTAACGGACTAAAAGGAACATTTGTAGTTTTAGAAATGAGCAGGGTTTTTGTGTGTGTGTGTGTGTGTGTGTGTGTGTGTGTGTGTGTGTGTGTGTGTGTGTGTGTGTGTGTGTGTGTGTTTGTATGGGAGGAGGAGGTGTTGTGATGTCACTGGGTTCACCTTCAAACCATGGTGTTTACTCAGAGAAAGGTCTTACACATCACCAATCCCCACCCTAACCACAGCTGCAATGGTGCACTTGTATAGTGAAACACACCAGTTCGGTGCAACTCGTGCACACCTCACCTTACCAAGAACAGAAAGGTCCACTCATACACAATCCCACACACATACAAACATGAACACCTCATGCTCAACAGTGTTGCTTTTGTATCTTGGAAATATTTTGAGGCTGTGTGAAGTAATAAAACCTGAGTGTAAACAGTGTGCCTAAAAATAGGACATTTCCAGTCAGCCTGACGAGATAATGTGCTTTCACATTTAAGAGTGAGTTGGCTTTTCCCAAAATGATGCCAAGCTGAGGTCCTTAAAACTAATCAGACTTCCCTGTTTTAGCCCTAATTGTAAAAACAACTCATCAGCAGTTAGAACCATATATGGATAAGAAAGTTTGATGTCCATGTGACACGGCAGAGAAGTGCCATCTGAGGCCACAGAAAAGGAAATTAAATGAAAATGCCACATTGGAACGTGGGCAGCTACAATGTGCCTGGTTTTTTAATCTTTACTGATGAGCCGAATACGGTGGCAATAATGTTATCCAATCGCACCTTATCTCACCGCTCACAGCTCCATCTGTTTAACACCTTAAATTATTACACTTTTGTTAAAAGAAAATACATATGTGAATGACTAATAATCCTGATTTGGATCCATCCTTTAAGCAGTGCCATTTATTTAGTCTTTTTTTGTACTTTCACTCATACGGTAGTAATGATATTCAACACATTATCATAAAACAAAGGACATGTTTTGTGGCCACCTGTAGAAACCTTCTCCTGCGTCACCCCTCAGTGTGTAATCAACAGCAATTATTGAAAAATGTCACAAGACTGATTGTGTTGGTTTTTTGACTTTTTTCTTGCTAATTTCTGACTTCCTGTGGTCAACACACCACAGCACCAGCATGGATCATCAACTGAGTAAACAGACTAAGCAATGCCACGATACATAGACACATATGCACATGTACGGTGAGTGTGGGACTGGACTGGTTTCAGGTGAATTTTCAGAATCCAGCCTGCTGTGAGGAGGTCACCACCCATATCTGTGTAGTCCCACTGTTATCAAACACACATTCCTTGACTTTCTTCTAGTGTTCTGATGTGAACAAGATGGGAATTCCAGTTAGGAAAAATAAGATGTCTTCTGATTATTTCACTGTCAATGTCAACTTGACATTTGGCCTTCAGTGCAAAGAACAGAAGAGATAGGAGGATGGGTGGATGAAGAATAAACAACATGGTCATGCCAGAGACCCTATCCATGTGACCGTGATCTCTAACCCTTTGCTATGTTGTGTTGTGTGTACAGAGGCATTCCAGGGAAGAAATGCGGAACCATTATTGTGAAAGCCGAGGAGCTGAACAACTGCAGGGTGAGGATTGATGTACACTTCCTGAAAAGTCTGTTTTGTAGTTATGGGGATGACTATTCCAATGTGCACATTATGACATTAGTCTTAATTAAAATGGCCTCTATAATGGGGTAGTATAGAGCCCTAACACAGTAAAATAATACCAGATGAATCACAAATATAACTGAATGCATTAAGAAGAAGAAGAAGAAGAAGATTATTTATTTTACTAACAATAAATGATATTGTTAGTAAAATAATTAAAATAGAGTGTAAAAAGCAATATAAACCTTTTTTATAGCTTCTTAGCTTTTATAGATTATTCCTTTTACCCACAGTCAGTTGTTACAAAAGCTTTTACCTGCAATCAGTACAATCAACTACAATTAAAACTTAAATAGATTTTGTACTCTATTTGTGTTTTTCTAGCTCTATTTGTTTTTCATCCGTGTCCTTTTTTTTTTCAGCCTCAACACAAATTTAGTCATTTTTGGGGCTCCATAGAAGAAAAAACATTCTTTTAAGTCAGCAATAATAAAAGACAGCTTTTTAAATTCGGTCCATTATTATAAAAGAAAAAGCAAGTCACTCGCAGAGAAACCCATTGGAGAAGAGACAGAGAAACCAACTTTTCCACCACACATCAGCCCAGAAATCCTTATTGTCTACAATAAAAAATGTTGCGTTTAAAGGGAAATAATGTATGTAATGTAATATTAATGTCGCAATACCAGAAATTTAGTAGTTGATACCAATACCAGTGGATTTCCACGATTCTCGATACCGAATCTGAGACCATGTTAAAAAACAAAGACAAAAAAATAAATAAATCCCAGCTCAGTACCTGTATAAAAAACAACAGAGGCTACACACCCACCTCTACTCAGAGTGCTAGCAATAGTAGGTAGCCTTTAGCATTTAGTCATTGCAAATGTTGTATGTTACATATACCGTACTTCCATTTCCAGTACCAGCTCAACTCGACTCGGTTTTGGCCCGCCGTCCTCCATTTTCCATTGCAGATAGTACCCAGAGATAGTACTGCTCAATGTAGCTGGTCGTCATAGCAACACCACACACAACTGCCGCGACGTAATGTGCAATGCGACACAAACACCAGAGACCCACATACACCTGTCTCAGTTAAAAAAGGTTTCTACATTACTGAGAATGTAAAGACAGATAAGAAAACCTTATAGCTGTGTTTTCCTGTGCCGTTGCTGCTGCAGCAGTCTGTGACAGTGGGACCAGTGGGCTCTGTGAGCGGACGGCTGGACGTCCTAGCGAGCTCCTTTGAAAATATATAATTTTCTATTGCTGGCCCCTGTCTGGGGCGCGCAATGATGATGCAATGAATAGTGACGATTCTCTCTGACCAATCAGCAGTCTGCTGTGTTTTCAGGTGACATTTTAGTATCGCCTCATCTCACTTGGAACCTCGACGGAGGGGATACAAAAACAAGTACTTGGTAGCAGGTACAGGTACAACTTTTCCACAGTGGAAAACCAAAAAAAGGCGAGTAGAGTCAAGGCGAGTCAAGCTGGTACCATACAGTGGAAAAGGGGCTATAGTTGGCCAGCTGTCTCAAATAAAAATAATGGTAACGCAAAGTACTTCTATACACCACTCTTGATGCTTTTCTTTTCAACGAGTCAAGGCATGTTAACTCCCCGTTACCTGCAGTATTTTGGTGAATAAGGAGTACTGACAATTTTATTAGAATTTTGGTATTGACTATCTGAGTATCGGTTCTCGTCACATCCCTAATATGTATTATGTATGATGTCAATGTCCAGGGTTAGGGTTAGACTGCCACTAACTGGAAATGTGCAATGTGTAAGCCACACCTGCGTGAAGCAGATCCATTCCTTTGGTTTTACCCAAGCGGGATGCTTCCGGTCTGAGACACGAAGCCAATGCCGAAGTCCATTATACCTACATTCTATCAAACAGCCAGCAGGGGGCGACTCTTTTGGTTGCAAAAAGAAGTCTAGTTCTATTAGAAATAATGACAAAATGACCCTTCTTCTAAGCTGATTTATATGGTCTCAATCACTAGTTTCATGTCTTCTTCAATACAACATGATGTTCATTTAGTAAATTACCCCATTTAGAGGAAAATACACCATAAAGCAGAGTATGCTTCAGGGTGGGATTATCTATGATTGACAAGTTGTTACCATGGCGACCTGTCAATCAGGCAAGAGTGACTCGTACCCACAGCACTGTGTAAATTTAACCAGCGCGGTTGAAAAAGCTTATTAGCAGTTGGCTGTTCACTTTCTCTGGTGAGTACATTTAGTTTTAAGTCTTTTGTTTGCTAGACAAAATTGTCAGACCTGTTAAAATGACAGTTAACTTGAATTACAGATGCACCTAGCTAAGCAAGCTAGCCACGGCCGTAGACGGCCGTTAGCTCCACCGTCTCGTCCAAATATGGTCACGTCCGGTAACATTACAGCTGGTTGCAAAAACTCAACATGGCGGCGCCCTATCGGCCACACTCGAGGCTTCAAAACGGCAGTCTACAAACCAACCGGTGACGCCACGTGGACCACGTCCACTTCTTATATACAGTCTATGGTTTTACCAGAAGATAATCATTAGCAGAGGTAAACGTGCCAAAATAAAATTTGATTAAAAAAAAATAAAAAATCAAGTATGCAAAAGAGGATTTTCCTCCTGAATTGCCATTTGAAGTATTGAGAAGGTATCCATATGCATTTTTAATCAGTTTCTCTCTTTCTTTTTGTCATTAGGAATCAGTGATGATGCAGTTCTGTGGGAACAAGTTGGACAAAAAGGATTTCTTCGGCAAGTCCGACCCCTTCCTGGTCTTCTACAGGAGCAACGAGGACGGCACGTGAGTTCCCCTCCTCTTCCCTCTCCCTCCACGTTTCCTTCTACTCATTTGTTATTTGGTTTAATCCTCCCCTGCAGCCAAAGGAAATTGGTTTCATTGATTTGCCTCAGATCAGAAGCCATGCTGCCTGTTTAAGCAGTGTGTGAATTACATCTGGAAATGTTGGCGCATGACATGTGTGCACCAGTGCGTGAGTGTGCGTGTGTGGAAGCAGGAAGCATTGAACAAGTGCACTGTTGTGGTATATATCACATAGATTTTTTGTGTGTGTGTGTGTGTGTGTGTGTGCACGCACGCGAGAGAGAGAGAGTGTTCGATCCAACTCTGTGGGCTCTTTTTTCCATCCTACAGTGTGTGACAAGTCAGATAAGACCTTGTGCTCTGAGGGCAGAAGATACCAAGTCCACCTGCTAAGCAAGGGACTAATGAAATTAGCCCTTTGCAGTTTGTGTTTATGTGTGTATTTTTGTGCATGCGTGTGTCAGGCAGTATCTTAGCTTCCACAGCCCTAAACGTTTACTTTCAGAAACTCTCTCTATTGTATTTTCCTTCTTATCCCCTCTAATATATGTATTTATGTGCAACTTCGTACTCCTTAAATCTCACTATTTTTCTCTCCTCTTTAATTCCATTCCCTTTTTCTGTACTCGCTCTCTCTGTCTCCTCATTTCTCTCTGCAGGTTTACCATCTGCCACAAGACCGAGGTGGTGAAGAATACATTAAACCCAGTGTGGCAGGCCTTTAAGATCCCTGTGCGGGCTCTTTGCAATGGTGATTATGACAGGTGAGTCTGATTCCTTTTGTAGTTCCAGATATTATGGTAAACTAAATAGAATACAAGTGCAACAACCTAGACAACCCTCTGAATCGTCAGGGAGTTATTTTCTTTATCAAACATACTGAAAATGTCATGCAAGGTAATACGGGTAACTCTGATAGAGAGTCTCACTGTGTCTCATCAAAGGCTATTCTATTTGAAAAAACACACACACAACAATAATATATATAAGAGTTTATTAGGCACAGAAACCTGTGTTCCATAAAACTTCAATACTACTTTTCAAGTCATGAAAGACATATTTTTCTGAGTAAAGCTTGCAACAAATGACATTTTCAGAATGAGAAACCCAAATATCCATAATATTAAAGGAGGGATTCCTTTATACTCATTCATTTTTTTTTACCTTTGTCTGCATAGTGCCTGTTCAGGTTGACTGGAATATGAACAATAAGCTTAGACACTGTCCACATACACACTCACGTATGCAGTCTTTTGTTGGTTACCATGCACTGGGGAGATTAATTAAATAAAAAAGTAAATAAATGTGTGCTGCGTCACTGCGAGTGTCACTCAAATATTATTCTGTCATTTATCCTGGACAACGAAGTGTGGATGTATAATATTGCTATTTGGTTTTCTTTTGCAAAACTGTTCGACAGCCTTGTTTTCTTCAGGGATGCATTCAGGGGATTACTTGAAAGATAAGTAACATTATTTTCTGGTGGTATAGTTTATATTTAGTTCACTAGTTTACAGAGAGAGGGAGCAGACTGCTCCAATCCTCTTGTCATATGACACTAACATGAACAAAGAGCCAAAAAGCAATCTATTTTAAGGCAAGTCAACGCTCACACACATTTCTCTGCATTTATTTTGGCACCACAGCAACCAGTGTCATCAAGCCCCCAAACACATTTGCTTTAATAGGTCTATCAGTGTAATTGCTCTTTTGCCACCAGTATGAATGTGGTACATGATTGTGTGGCTGATTTGCAGGTCTGTAAAAAGCAGGGAAAAAATAATCAAGAGATGAAACTGTTAAGATGAACTAATTTGAGAAATTGGCAGCAGTGTGTATTTGACCGGAGGCAGGAATTCATAATTCTGCTCTATGAAACATCTGGTGTCTACAATAATACATTTTACTGCATTGAACATGAACATAACATAAAAATGTTCAGTAGATCAGCGTCCTCCTGCTTCCTTCTAGCTTAGGGTGGATCATCTGCATGAAAGAGAGCCACGACCGCTGTCCATTGTGCTGATCCTGGGACGGCCAGGGATGTAGGATTTGCCTGTAGAACTGGCTGTTATTGATTCAGTGATGGACAGGAGTCTCACTGCTAATTCTAAGGGATGCAAATTTTACAGCGTTTTGCCATTTGCCATTCTTAACACGTATCAGAAGGAACTCTGCTGTCTTTGTTTATTTAGTTTGTTTGTTGACACTACTTTGTGACTGTTCTTTTTTGTTAACGCTTCATTTTACAGGTCAGTCATTTCCCCACCAAAATCCCAGCATGTTTGAAATAGCTACATATTTTGGTACAAATTATTTATTTATTTTGTTTCTCCGTCCCCATTAATTATTACCAAATAATATGGTTCTTTCCTTGAAAATCTTGGACATTATTAGATGATTCTGCAAAAAATATGGACCTTAAAAATAAAGAGTTTTCACTTTTATATTGCCTCTTAAAATACATATACATGTGCTGGTCATATAATTAGAATATCATCAAAAAGTTTATTTATTTCAGTAATTCCATTCAAAAAGTGAAACTTGAACATAATATATACATTCAGTCCACACAGACTGATATTTGAAGTGTTCATTCCTTTTAATTTTGATGATTATAACTGACAAATGAAAATCCCAAAATCGGTATCTCAGAAAATTTGAATATTGTGAAAAGGTTCAATATTGAAGACACCTGGTGCCACACTCTAACCAGCTAATCAATTAAAAAAACCTGCAAAGGCCTTTAAATGGTCTCTCAGTCTAGTTCTGTAGGCTACACAATCATGGGGAAGACTGCTGACTTGACAGCTGTCCAAAAGACGACCATTGACACCTTGCACAAGGAGGGCAAGACACAAAAGGTCATTGCTAAAGAGGCTGGCTGTTCACAGAGCAAGCCAACTGTCCAAGCACATGAATAGAGAGGCGAAGGGAAGGAAAAGATGTGGTAGAAAAAAGTGTGCAAGCAATAGGGATAACCGCACTCTGGAGAGGATTGTGAAACAAAACCCATTCAAAAATGTGGGGGAGATTCACAAAGAGTGGACTTCAGCTGGAGTCAGTGCTTCAAGAACCACCACGCACAGACATATGCAAGACATGGGTTTCAACTGTCACATTCCTTGTGTCAAGCCACTCTTGAACAAGACACAGCGTCAGAAGCGTCTCGTCTGGGCTAAAGACAAAAAGGACTGGACTGCTGCTGAGTGGTCCAAAGTTATGTTCTCTGATGAAAGTAAATTTTGCATTTCCTTTGGAAACCAAGGTCCCAGAGTCTGGAGGAAGAGAGGAGAGGCACAGAATCCACATTGCTTGAAGTCCAGTGTAAAGTTTCCACAGTCAGTGATGGTTTGGGGTGCCATGTCATCTGCTGGTGTTGGTCCACTGTGTTTTCTGAGATCCAAGGTGAACGCAGCCGTCTACCAGGAAGTTTTAGAGCACTTCATGCTTCCTGCTGCTGACCAACTTTATGGAGATGCAGATTTCATTTTCCAACAAGACTTGGCCCCTGCACACAGTGCCAAAGCTACCAGTACCTGGTTTAAGGACCATGGTATCCCTGTTCTTAATTGGCCAGCAAACTGGCCTGACCTTAACCCTATAGAAAATCTATGGGGTATTGTGAAGAGGAAGATGTGATACGCCAGACCCAACAATGCAGAAGAGCTGAAGGCCACTATCAGAGCAACCTGGGCTCTCATAACACCTGAGCAGTGCCACAGACTGATCGACTCCATGCCACGCCACATTGCTGCAGTAATTCAGGCAAAAGGAGCCCCAACTAAGTATTGGGTGCTGTACATGCTCATACTTTTCATGCTCATACTTTTCAGATGGCCAACATTTCTAAAAATCGCTGAAAGCCCCCCCCCTTCTTGTGGTTGGAACAGGGTTTACAAAGTGAGAAAACAAATAAATGCGTAAAAGTGTGTCTCTCTCATGTCAGCCTTGTGTTTGTGTCCATCCCCTGCACAGTTAAAAAGGCACAAACTTAGCATAGTTAGTAGACGACAGCATTGATCTGAAGTTGGGTCCAATAAGCTTATTAGGGGAGTTGACTCACTCTATGCCTTATCAGTGGGGGACTTGAAAAACTCACAGTGGACTGCACATACAGTGCACACACGCACACTCACACATTGTGTGTGTGTGTGTGTGTGTGTGTGTGTGTGTGTGTGTGTGTGATACATACAAATACACACTCCCACATTGACTCTGTCTCTCTGCAACCTGGGAGAAGAGATAAGGGGGAGCTCAAGCTAGCAAACAATACAGAACTGTGTCTTTCTGCTCATAGGTGCTTTGATGGCCCTGTGTTCTCTCTCTCTCTCACTCACACACACACACACACACACACACACACACTCTCACATGCATTCACACATGTGCAGTGAGACCATAAGATTAACAAGTGAAATCATTGTCAATTTCCTGTCACATCATCGAAGCTCAGAGTGATGGGACGTCTCCCACTGAGATGTGGCATAACACTGACTTAATAAGACACATGCCAATAAACACATGCATACACACACACATACCTTTACGCAGACAGCTATGCACATGCTGGTTTCTCTTAAGGAGAAAGTGTGACGCCAACCATGGGACACGTTTATCCCCAGAGTGCACATCACTATCAGCCAGCCTGTTCCCACTCCTTGCCTTTATTGCCTCCTTTCCTCTAATGTGCATCTGGCTCTCTAAGCAGCCCTAAGGCATAAGCAGCTCATAATAATGGTTTGTGTTTCCACTCCTTCTCATATTGAAAGATGAGTAGGATGGGTAAGTGCAGTTTTGGCTCAGGTTGTGTTAGAATGTTGTCTAACCTCTGAAACAATTACAAAGTGTAGAAGACATACAAAATCATACAAAATTCATGAAATACTATTGTCTGGTCTCAAACTTTTACAATCATAGTATGTGAGTCTTCCTACTGTCACCTAAACTTAATCGACCAAGACATTTTTCACACCATCTTCTCTTCCCCTTGCTCGCTCCCTCCTCGGTTCTCTCCAGCAGAGTGTCTTTTGCTCTGTCTGTTTTAATTCGGTCTCTGTTCTATTATCCTTCTGCCTCACCCCTCTCCTTCTCTATGTATCACTCTCCTGCTTTTGTCAGAAAGAAATGACCCCTCTGTCGAAGACATTGGTAGATAGCGTGATAGCGCAGCATATCTACCTCTTGCAGACTATTCTGTTTTTTTCCCCATTTCCTTGTGAGCTATAATGGGATGCAGAAATAGATGTATTTGGAGATGAGGGGAGAGCACAATACCGGAGGCAAATGCAGACAGGCAGGCAGTGTGTTGGAATAAAGATAAGCTGCAGAATGGATGTGTATAGATGGCTCTATGACAACAATGACAAAAGAAGCGTTAGACACATCATCGATGTATATTTTATAATTTCACTATAGAAGATAGCCTTTTAGCACTTTGAATATGATTACTGTAAGTCAGTTTAGTTGTACTCTGGAGAAAAACTTCAAATGAGCTTTTTATTTTATTGTAAAGGTCTGGCAACATCATCTGGTACCTTTAAAATATGTTATATTTTGCAACTAAGCATTGCGATTCCTTTAAGAAAAATCAAAATCAAATGCGTTATCACGAGAAACATCAACAGACTCATAATTCAGGAAAAGAAAACCAATCTGTTTTTTTTCTATCTGATCCTTATTTTGTGGCTCTCCCAACAGAACAATCAAGGTGGAGGTGTACGACTGGGACAGAGATGGCAGGTAATTCCTCTCTTTTATTTGCCCGCTTATATTGTTACTTTTGTAATTTTACGATCACATAATACTTTTTAGATAGAATTAATTCAACTGATCGGGCAAAGTCTGGCTATCCAGTACCAACAACATTGATCTAGATGCATGTTTGGACTAATTCTGTTTTAATACGGTCAGTCATTTAAAAAACGCAGCCCCCTCGTTAATTTGAATGAGGCGGCTGCTTTTTAGGTGTCCTCGATGCCACACAATTTGGTTGTGATGTGGTAAGTTATATTACAGACATCTACACAGATTGCCATGGGATTTATTATTAAAAGCAGCTAAAGTGCTGGTTTGTAGGGAAGAGCCATTTGTCATGATTTATAATGGCTTCTTCTGAATATAATTTTTTGTTATTGTTATATGTTTATTACTTAATCACATGGATGTTAAAGCACAAGATCGTTTTTAATGATAAATATATTTATTGTGTGCACTCTCGGAAATTGCAAAACTCAAATAACAGCAGCAGAGAAACTCAGAAACTCTTCATTGTCTCTGTACATGAAGCAACTTACAGTTGAAAACAAAACAACACAAGTCAGATGAATAATTGATTTCTAGACAGACACTTTACACCTGTTCTGTTTGTCAAGGCAATGTAGTGTGCAATAGCGTTATTGAGTTAGGTTTTAAGATTGTGAGGATAGCAGCTTGTTGTACAGATATAAATTATATGAACCGCAATTCTTGTAAATGCTGATAAATGCACAGCAACACGTTTCCTTATTACGTCTTATCTTGATTACACTAACATTCAACACATGTTAGCTTCCCGTGTACGGCTAATCTAATCCAAGTCACATGTTATTAAAACTAGTTTATGTTTTCAGTAACAATGGAAGCTGGGAGCAGGATCGTCACAGACTGACTGCTTAATGATGAGTCTGGATTCTGGCTGCTGACAGTCAGACAGAAAGAAAGAGGAGTGACATTTGTCAAACTTTAGTTGAACAGGGATTTATTTTTCTATTCTTTATACTCATTCTATTCAGTGTCACTCTTAAACTGATAGAAGGAACATAGCAACGTTTTGATGTGATGTTTTTTTAATGGGACTGAGAAATGTTAACAATATTTTAACAAGCTGTTTGGCTGAACTGAGCTGTAGTGTTAGTCATCACCTTCGTCCGTGTACATGAAAGTGTTTGTTGTCTTCTGTTCTCATGTTTGACTTGCTTTCGTACTCACTAACTACTAACTTCATCGCCGTTGCCCTCACTTTAGGTTACATAAGTTGTCTTCTCTGCGACATGAAGGAAACACTCACACATGACAAAAGTGTTTTACAAGACAAAATGCCAATATTGTCTTGACAATATTTGACAATATTGTCACTACATTGTCGTCTGTATGTGCCATCTTAAATAATTAAGTGGAATGTAATGTTGCTGTTGCTCGCTTCTCTCTGTAGTCATGACTTTATCGGAGAGTTCAGCACCAGCTACAGAGAACTATCCAGAGGGCAGAGCCAGTTCAATGTCTATGAGGTGAGTTTACGTGGATGTGTATATCTGTGTGTGAGCCTGCATCTACATGTGTGTTACTGTGTTTTTTAATTTAACAGTGTTTTCTCCTCTCCAAACCAGTGCGCAGGTCAGCAGGTTGCTCACTCACTTGCAAATCTGCCTGTCACAGCTGGGGAAAGAAAACGCATATTGAAAATTCCAATACTCAGCTGAAGACAGCTTAAGAGGATGTCAACTCGGGGGGAGCTTAATTAATAGCAGAAATATGCTGCTTTAGCTTGAGGCAGTAGGCACCAAAAGCAGATAAAAACAGTATGAATCATGTTCTGTAATGCCACTTCACATAAAAACAGACACAAATCAGATGCTTGAACGTGAGACTTCAGAGCAGCAGTGGTAATGTTGTTGTTTGGGATGGAAATTTGTTGATTGCTACTGACATTTATAAACATGATTTTGTCAACCACATGACCAGTAGAAAATGAGAGAGTAAAAGAGCAGGAGACGAGACAGCCAATGCATGGGCAAGAAACTTGAGCACTCCCACTAATTTGGCATTACGCAAAAGTACAACATTGTTTGACTCATAATCCATGCAGCAGAACCAGAGATATCATCGTATTTATTCCGCACATTCTTCCACTGTGAAAACCTGATACCTACATATACCCACAATGCAACTTGACCAGTTGGGTCAGAGATTCGGGTGTTTTATGCTAGCAGCAGCTAATGTAGCCTCCAGGAAGCTCCCTTCTTTATAACTTTACACCCCAAGATTGTTTTAATTTTTAAACTTGATAGTCTTTAGCGCCAACCGACACAACTCAAGTGACATCACTTGAGGACATTAATCATCTCCCCCTGAAGCCACAAAAGGCTTTATACAACTTTTTTGCAGTAGTAAACAGACTTTTTATGTATAAAATCGGTCAAGTTCCCCTTCAACTTAACTTGAAGTATACTGGAAGGAATAAATTACATATTACATGTTTGGCTAAGTCTAGTAACACTCTTATTACCAGCCTCTGATATTTTCAGATATAGAATTTTATCCTGCTATTAGGATACTGTCCTGTCCAACTGACATGAGAGTAGATATACTGCATCCTGTGCCTGCAACATTGGTGTATGATGGTCTCATAAGACTTAGTTAATGCCAACCACATTTTTTAAATCCACTGAAGAAACCAATGTGGCACCAGGACTGTGTTTATCCTCTTGTATATCTTTTCTCTCTCTCTCTCTCACTTTCTCTTCCATGCGCACACTGACAGTTATGATGGATCACTGGCTTATCTTCTCACAGGACGAGTCAACACTTCTTGATTAACAGAGTCACACAGGGGACTGTCATTTTAAATAGCTGCTGTTTGCCTAATAGCGCTCAGGTGTGCACACAGAGGCACAGTGACGAGTATGAGTATGAGGAACAGCAAGCCTATAGAAACACAGTCACACACAAAGTAATGTGTGATTTCTGGCCTGTTTCTTGACCCTGATTTTTCCTCAAGTTAAAGCTAGCAGTGAGAGAGAGGATGGCTTCGCATTGCTAAAGACCCTCAGTGTGCGCGTGAAAGTGTGTGTATTTGTGTTACAACCACATTTCAATCACTGCACCTCCCCTCCAGAGGCAAATATGTCCTTGTGTGTACCTATTGCAATGTGGACCAAGGAGAAATGCATAAATCCACACATTTGTATGTTGTTTCCCTCTCTTTCTTTTTAACCTTGGAACAATTTAATTAGACCATAAAGCTCTGATTTAAAAGTTCTGATGCAGTGTTTGGGTTTCAAAATAAGTTTCAGGACTGTTTCTGGCTGGTCCCTACATCACAGGAGCAATTGTATGTTTTAATGAGCTTGGGTCGTAACACGAGGGATGAAATAAATGGACAGCCACGGCTGAAAGTGCATCCTTTCTGATCTGTTTACAAAAACAACAGGGTCTCAAAGCAATAAGTAAAGGTATTTTAAATGCATGGGAAGGTTGCTGTGCACTCACTTTGAGTACTGTTACATATTCATTAAGACACACCACCTAGGTTAGAGCCATAATCCACCTCTGGATCTAGCGTTCCTCTGGAAATGTTGGGCCTTAAGTGATTTTATTGAATCTAAGTCAGAATCCACTTTTGTTTAACAATTATGGTTCTCATCCAGTCGCAGTTCACTGTAAATGTTTGGTATGTAACTTGAGTGAGAAACTCTCATTTATGGCAGATTTAGGCCTACCCTTGAATTCTAGCATTTTGACCAGTGATGTTCGATACAACTTAATTCCTATACGATCCAGTACCAAGTAATACCCAGGCTGGTATTGCAGAATCAGTGACCTCCCCCTGTTTCTGTATTTATGAGGAAAATAAAGAGTAGGATGTAGGCTTAACAATTTCAAATGATAGCTGCATAGTGACAAAACATCAAACTATTGTCATATTCTTTAATTATAATAAAAATATCCCGCTCAGAACTGCCACTTCATAACATCATCATATTATTTTGACTTAATCTCAGATGGTTAGCGAAGATGTTGCCAAAGTATTTCACTGTCTTTGCCCACACATCACACACAGCGTGATTATTACCTTCACAGCTAAAATACAGCCAGACATGACTGCTTTTACAGTCAGCCATAGTCAGTATTCAATTGCAGGAAATGTTGGTAAGCTGGTGAACACAGCAGAGCATTTAGCAGCTAAAAGAGACATATTTCCCTCAAGAGATGGTGGAGACAAAAAAAATACTCAAAGGAGAACGTATATTGGACTTTCATTCATCAGACACCAGGAACAAGAGTCCAGATGAATTCTAATGTTGCTCCATATGTGCTGGAAGGTAAAAACGTAACTGTTTGCTAAGAAGTTCACTTCTTTAAAGGTGATAATATATCAATAAAACAAGCAATTCCCCATGCACAGCAACAACAGTCAGGTGCAGCACACCTGGGAGCACTTTCGCAGTTTCACCGAGTGAACCTGAAGAAGCCATAGGCGAAACACGTTCAAAATCAATATAGTAACGTCATTTCAGTGTGTAGTGGCTTGTTTTTGATTTTTCAGCGATAACATAATTTTTGTGTTTTCAACTTTCCACTGCTCCCAAGTGGCCAAAAAAACTGTTAATTGAAAAATAAAATTGGTGCCTATTCTGAGCCCGTTCTTTAAACCCAACCTTGTATAACACAAATATAAGACTAATTTGAAGAATGAATGAATGAATAGATTCTGAAATCACAAGAGAGAATCCTGTCTTCTTTAGGTGGTAAATCCAAAGAAGAAAGGAAAGAAGAAAAAATACCTCAACTCTGGAACGGTGAGGAAATATCTATCATATCTAATGCATTATTCTTTTCCAGATGGGTACCTGTTTCATACTGCTTATTGTTTAATTTTGTAATTGAACCGGTCATTATATTTATCATGTTAGGAAGAAAAAATAACTGTATTTATCCCATCAGAGGCAACACTTCAATCATTAACATTGACACAAAGTTGACTGTGGCCGTATCACTTACAGGTAACACTGCTGTCATTCCTGGTGGACATTGAAGTCACCTTCCTAGACTACATCAAAGGAGGGTAGGTCAATGACCACACAGTCATTGAACTCATACTAAAAGATGGGGCTTGTAGTCCTTTAATGAGAAGTGACATGCTGAGTGTGCCTGTCCCTGTCTTGATAATAACCCTGTCATGACTCAGTGTCTGCAGAATGCCAAAGATAATGATCCCTCAGTGTGACAGAATCAGATGGAAAAGTGTACATTTGCATGTGAGAGAAGGACAGTGAGAGGTGGAGAAGGAGAGAGACTGACAGATGGGCTGACCTGAAGTCAAGTACACAGGGCGCAGACTATGAAGTGTATGTGTGTGTCTGTGCCCTTGTGTGTAAACTATTGTGTTTCAGCACTTGCCCGTGCCATGTGCCGTGGTGTGGGCTCAGATTTGTGTCTATGTGCCTGTGTATGTATGTTGCTCAGGAGGGTTGGCTGCGTGCAACCAGGCATGGCGCGAATGCTCGCCTACACACTCTGCCTTCATTAGACTCACAGAGGGGTAGACTGTCAAGGGAGAGAGAGTGTGTGTGTGTGTGTGTGTGTGTGTGTGTGTGTGTGTGTGTGTGTGCGCGTGCATGCATGCAAGCAACTTTGGAGGTGGGGGTCTACATTTTAGGCCTTGTATTTATCCATTCCTGCTGCCCTTGGAACTGTGTTTTTTAGGTGTTTAAGTTTGAAAGTCCAAAGTCCACTGAAAGTATAAGTTTGTTCCCTCTGTGAGAAACTCATAAGAAAACAACACAATTTATTTTCCCCCGTTGCTGTTGCTCATTTCAGAAGGATTTCAAAAGAGTTAACTTTTGCCTTTGCTTACCTTAAAGCAGCTATACTGCTGTAACTTACACTAACAATAGATCATACAGTATGGCTACTGCTTTATCCGATGAACTCACAGAGGATTATCAGCAGGTTTTGCATTTCCCCTTAGCTCTGCAGAGCTTTATAGCGTTTTTCTGCTCATTGTTTTGATTTTCTAACCTGCAGCTTTACTGTTTTGGTTCACTCTCTCTACTTTCATAGCATCAGCCACTGCAGGCATCTTTTTTCAAAGAAAAAGCTCTAATATTCCACTGTCAGCTGCCTGCCCATTACCAAACAGCAGGCAAAGTGAGCGACTAGCTGGTGAACACAGTGGAGCATTTAACAGCTAAAAAGCCAGAGCCAAAAAGGCTTACTGTAACTGGACACCTTTCCTTTCATATTAAACAATGGTTTAATACGAAAGGAAAGGTGTGATATCTTCTGAATTATTTATCAGACTCAGTTATTACTAGAATAAGAGCTGGGCGATAGGGCCCAAAATGTTTTCGCAAGAAATATCGATATCAATATCTCGCTAATTATCACGATAGATGTCAAATCATTATTTCTTTCAAGTTTGATTTTTGCTCCTGAGTGAAAGTTGAAGAAACCAGACGTTAATTGGGGTTTTAAACTTTTAATTATGGTCAGAAAATGACAAACACATGCCAAATAGTGGATCCTTTCACAAAAAATTCAGAACAATTATAATGATGAAATCTTTTATCATAAAATTAAGTAAAATCTTTTTTCAGTCTTTTTCCCCCAACAAAATCAATATCTATAGAAAAACTAAGTGCTGATTCTTTTGTGATGCAAATTAATTAAATCAAACATTTATTGAACATTTGTTATATTTAGATCGAGGAAAATTATATCACAATAATTATTGTTAGCTTTTTATCGTCCATCCCTAACTAGAATGCAATGCAGTTATTGTCTGGAGTCACAGCCAGAGCTGTGACAGCAGATGTTTGCTGTACATGTCAGCATGTATTCCTTTATTTCTAAAGGCATGAAATCCATCAAAACACTAATTCGCTTACAGAAACACAGCTACAATTCAAGACCCTTTCGTACAAGACCTTTTAACACTGAACTCTTGAGATGATTATGTACTTTTCTAGTGAACACATTTGAAAAGAATGACAGTATGATGTAAGTAGGATATGTGGCTTTAAAGTATGGTTACATTAAAGCTATTATTATTTTGTTTAAAATTTGGTAAACTGTGTGAAAATGAAGTTACAAAACCACATCCTGATTGACAGAAAACTGTTTTAAGCCTGAACAAGCTGAGAAGCAGGAGACAAAAAGGTAATATACAGTTAATGTGCACATAGTTTGAAACCTCACTACAATAAAGCCTTTGCTAAACTCGTATCCACATGCAAAATTGCATTAAGACATTGTTTTGTAAAGACAATGTTTGTGCCTCGCAAGTTGTTGTTTTTGATTCACAGCTTTTGTCATACTCATTTATAAGCCAGTGAAAAAGAACACAGATCAATAAGCTATTGATTCGCAGGGCATTAGGAATGCACTTTGCGTATTCCAGATTCAAGTATTGGATGAAGTTACTGTATATGTTTAAGAAGACTGGAAAACAGAGGAAAAAGTATTAATCTACAGCATGACAGGGAAGCTTTCGTGTTTGTATACTGACGCATGTTATAATCGTGTGCTAAGCGTGAATTTGAATGACAGTCAAGCTTGTAAGAATGACGGCATGTGCAAGAGCTGGCTTTGAAATGTGTGTTTGTACTAACGCCACGCGTCCTGGCATATGTCTACTCGCTCTGTCGCTAGCTGCTAATAGAGAATTCCCGTCTTTGAGTCTCCCCACACAAGGACCACATTCTCAGCAGCGCTGTCAGTCAGAGCGCTTCTCAGGAAGAGGGTGTGGGGTTTTTTTTTTTTTGGCAGTGCTTTGGGTGTGTGAGCTTGGTGCTGTTACACGTTTGTGTGGCTAAATTAAGTGCCAAGTGCTGTCTCACTGTTTGAAACCTAAATGGACTGTAATGGACCAGTGGCACTTACCCCAGTTGCATAATGGGCAGACTGTGTATTTGTGCGCAGACACACAAATGCATGCACTCCCACATAACAACGTAAACACATTCTTGATACTTGCACATGCAAACACTCACCCTCTTAGTTACTTTCTCACTTGTGCACTTGGACTGCCTACACAGGTATTTTGTCACCTCATCTCGTTTCCTTATATCTCTTTTCAGCTGCCCTCCCTTCTTCTCTTTTCCCCACTGCTCTCTTATCTTCTGATTGACAGCTCTTTTTGCAGCTTCAACCCAATCAGCTAATTGTTAATTTGGACCTAATTAGGAACATGATCTGCTGGCAGCATTAACATAAATGACTGATTTGAGAAGACTCTGTCTCAATCCAAGGCATCGCTGCTCTTATTCTTTTCACTCCCTGTGATAAAGCATTAGTGCCACCCATGGATTTCAACAAAGAGGCCTCTATTCATGAGCACAAGGATAAAAATGAAGAATTGTTGGCTATATCTTCCATCCTGAGTTGTGCCTTTGAAGGCAGCCCTGTCAGTCATAGTGACAGATATTGTTTCCCGTTGTTTTGGTTTGTGAATTGAGTATTGAAAGCAGAATAGAAGCAGGAGGGAACTCTGCCGGTATTGAAATCATTCTGAGAGGTTATCATTAGATAGAGGAACACACATTCAGAGTCAAGACACAGATTTGTAAAAAAAATCAAATCTTTGAAAGGAACCCAGATGTTTTACTTTGTGGGTTATACTTAGCAAATGAACAAGCACAATATCAATGTTTGGCTAATTTGATTTAATGCAGGTGTGAGCTCTCCTCTTCTCCCCTCCTCTCCTCTTCCTCTCCTCTAGCCACATGGATGCTGTCCAACCAGCAACATCTGTTTGCATATCATCAGGAGAGGTCACTTCGCACAACCTCTGATGCTGTTTTTAGGCCACTCAGTGCACTCATGCATACGTTTCCCTCTGGCACTGGAGACTTCTTGTGAACATTTTGAAACGCTTTTTGTCTTAAATAGAACATTTTCACTTTAATGATGAACACTTCCTATAAAGGATATTCAGCCTGTTGAGACTATAATGTAGGTTTTCAGGATTTTTCCTTGACTTTCTAAAATGTGGCTTGGTGCCTTTTGGATTTGCCAAATTACTGAGAATTTTAACTGCCAATTATAAACTGTTACTATTAAAACCCCAATGGGAAATCTTTTTTTTCTTTGACGACTCCTACTGGTCACATCAAAAAATATTTTGCTGCAGTACTCAGATAAGAAATACGTTTGCTTGGTGTTACCTGGATCAGCTGTGTAACTCACATCACTGTACAACCCAAACTCAGAAAAAAGTCGGATAATAACAACTAACGCAAGTTAAGACATTTACAACTAAGAATTATGCCTTACCTTTGCTAGCTATCATCTCAAATAGCAATCATGATTTACGTTAAATGGTAATGTTACCGTTACCTTGTTTCGGGTCGGCTCCATGGACTGGATGACTAGACTAGAGACTGCCGTTGTGCAATTCAAAGTGCTTTAGGTAAAATTAGGCTAAATGGTATCATGTTTCCTCTCCCAGTTGTGAAACTTGCCTTGCTGCAGTAGCAAGCCACTAGAGATTATGTACGAGATCATCTTTTTACAGTTTGGAAATGAGATGCTTTGAACATTGAGGAGAGACATTAGCATCCAGTCTGTTCAGTCAGCAGGAAAGTTTATTTAAATGTAGTACGCAAACCTCTCATCAGTCCTCCCCCTGCAGTGCAGTATGTTGTCACATTGGTTCCTAGTTGATTCACGGTGGGCTTTAACAGCGGGGGAAGCTCAGTGACTGATAGAAAAGCAGCTGATAAACTGGCATTCCACCTTCACCCCAAACACATTTTAATATGCTGTACATACGACACACAGAGGCTTACACTCATCCTTGAAAATGGGAGGCCATGTACTTTTCGCACATTCCATACTGTATGTACAATATACTGTATGCAGTGTTTTGTCTCCAAGTCTCAGGGGCTCTTCTTTGTATAAAAGAAGCATTGTGGGAAATGTTGTTGTCATGGTCCCATACAGTACTGTATGGACACACACAGAAACACGTGTGTATGCTGTATAAGACACAGAAAGAAACACCAGGAAGTGGAATAGATCAGAAAGCCAGATTTAGGAAGTAAGAAGGTATATAAATCTGTTAAAAATGACTATCTTTTCTCTAATAAAGTCGACTGAAGTGTAGCTACGTACTAGGCAGCATTAACGTATGTTTTGACTGAATATCCACCAAATAAACCCTTTTTTCCGTGGTTTCATGTCATCACATATAAATTCCCCACTGAAGATAAACAGGTGAATCTTTATTTTGAGTATGTATATGTGTGTGTGTAAATAAACTTCTGCTGAAGGTTTAGGTAAACTTGCCCAGATTTAGGCATTTAAGACTGGCCAATAAAAAACTTTGTTACACGATGACTGCCCTTAAAAGCGCCCAAGAAGTACCTTCAGGACACAGAATGATAAGGTTTGGTTTTTAAGGCAGGCTAAGCTCACATCTCACCTCTCTCTTCTCAAGGCCTTCCATGTGAGGTTGTGGTTAAGACCACTGCCTCTGAAAAATTCCTTATCATACCCGCCAGAACATTTTGCTGCCTTTCTGGATTGAACCTGTTCTGCGGCGGTGCTTTGTTGCAGAGCACCTGTTGCTGCTTGGGTGATTTTGTGTTTATTTGTGTGTTCAGTACAGAAATGTACTGTACTTAGGCAAACTCAAGTATGATGTTATGTAATTATTTAGTCAGTGCATGTGGCCTACATTCCACTTCCTGGTGTTATCAGGGCTTGTTCTAAAATCTATTGATCGACTCCAGACTGTCCAGAACTCAGCTGCCAGGCTTTTAACCAGAACAAAGAAATATGACCACATTACTCCTATTTTAGCTTCATTACACTGGCTCCCAGTATGTTTTAGAATTGACTTAAAAATTCTATTGATCACTTTTAAAGCTCTTCATGGCCTCTCGCCTTGTTATATTTCTGACCTTTTAGTCCCATACGCACCAGCACGTACCTTGAGATCCTCGGGCAGAGGTCTGTTGTCTGTTCCAGAGTCTCGACTGAAAACTAAAGGGGACAGAGCGTTTGCTGTCAGGGCCCCGAGGCTCTGGAACAGCCTGCCCGAGGAAATCAGGTCGGCTGAGTCAGTGAACTCTTTTAAGTCCCTTCTTAAAACATACTTTTATAGGAGAGCTTTTCCCGATCTTATTTGACTTTATTTTATCCCTTTTATTTTATTGTATTTTACTAATTTTATATTAAATTTTCATGCTCTTATCTTTTTTTTTTTGTATTATTCTTTACACTTGTTAAAGCACTTTGTAACTTGTTTTTGAAAAGTGCTCTACAAATAAGGATTATTATTATTATTGTTGCCTTCTTTTTATTGTCTTGCTGTGTTTTTGCATTCCATCTGTGTGCCCTAAGTTGTTGGGCAAGAGAGTTTTATTCAAAGTCAGAGTGTCATCTCCCTCAATGTTAGTGTCTGTTATGAGCTCCTATAGTCATTGTTTTTATTCCTTTCCACGCCACTCTGGAGTTCCCCGTAGCAAAAATATGCTCCACCTTGTCGTTGAACTGTTTTTTATCCACTTTGATCTGGCTTTCCATGTCAGTCTGCATACAATTTAGTTTCTTTTTCTAAATAAATCATATTGCTTAATGAATAATACATACTATTTTTTATATTTAGGGTAATAGAAGGGACAGCAGTTGACTTCATGGTAGGTTTGACACTGTATTGCAACAATTAATACAAGCAATTCTATTATACACATTCTCTCTCTCTCTCTCACTCACTCACTCACTCACTCACTCACTCTCACACACACACACACACACACACACATCATCTAGGAAAATCCCAAGAGCTAATAAACTGATGTCTCACTCAAATTCTTGTGTGATTAATGCAGAGGATCGAGTTGACCTTTGGCAGTATGTCCTGTGTTCTGGATATTAATATTCTCTCCATTTGGAGTCAAAATGATGGTGTCAAACATTAGGGGTGATATTCACTTTGTAAAACAATAAACTGACATTGACTTCCAAGTCGTCCTCCTAATCATTTTACAGTCTCATCACAGAAAGTAATCACAGTCACACTGCAGAGGTTTGATGGTGATCAATACCGTTTTGCGACAGTGTTGCGACTCGCTTTTGAAAATTATTCAGCCAATATCCTCTGACGGGTTTAAGCACTGCTTTCCTCTTCTTTCCATCTTTTCTCTTGTTTTTTGGCTTTATTTTTATATCCGTCCCCCAATTCACCTTGTTTCTCTCTGGCAGTCCCTTCACACAATTGGAGTTCCTCTCTCAAACTTTGAGTGTGTGCGTGACAGAGTGAGGTTGGTTGGGATAGAAAGAGGGCATGCATAATTTAGGCTGCAAGGCTGCAAGCTTGTCTGTGCCAGCATGAGGAACTGGACGAGAATTCATTCTGATCTCCTCTCTCTACCCCCTTGTCCTTGCAGCTGTCCCATAGAAAAGCAAATGTGCTGGAATTTTCTTGATGTCTTTATTATGTTTGAGGAAATGAACCACCTTATTAAGAGATGTTATAATTCAGCTTTTGTCACTGTTGGGTGAGGACATTTTTATCAACTAAGAGCTGCCTCGTGTTTTTGCTAATGACAATGATTCTGGAAGTTGTCTGATGGTCTGATGATGAGTTTCCCTTAAGAGGTTACAGGGAAAATAACTTTTTTCAGTCATGGAAACTCCAGTGGGTTGAGAATAGGGCTGAACTTTGCTTTGGGCCGCTTCTATTGTGTTGCAGCTGAGTCAAACAAAGCCAAAGTAGCTACGTTAAACTCAACATTTCAAGTTACAGCAACTGAAAACAGTTTCATTTCAAACAGGAAGTCAAGCAGGGTTTTGCCTCAAAGAGGAACTCCACAAAAACACATTATCTCAAAATCACAGACATTCCTCATTTAAATCTTAGGGTAACAAACAAACTCAGGAAGCAAAGACTTGCCTATTCAGCACTGTTGAAGCTCAACTCTAACATTGACAGCATCTGAATTACCTTTTTTTGGGAGTATAAAATATGTGCCAGGGCTTTTCTCTCTTTCCTCCTTATTTTTCAAGCTGCAACATGTTGACGGATTATTAAATGTCTCTTGAACTTTTTCCTGCCTGTGTCCCTCCCTCTCTCCCTCTCATTCTGTCCCCTCTGGACAGCATGGCCTGCTGAGGTGACAAAGATGATGAGCAACTGGCTGTTTGACTCTCTCTGATTACAGGAGATGTGTGTAAGGTAGACAGGGAGGCTTAAACCCATGTCTGTGTTTATGTGTGTGGCAGCGGGTCAGGATTGGTGTGAAAAAGCTGACAGGGCGACCAAACTCTTAACCACATCCTGTTCCTGCAGGTTAACAAGTTAGGAAATGTTTTGATGAAGAGAGACGTGCCAGTCTCCCATGCTGGGGGCTGTGGTGTGTGTTGTTTGTCTCTGTCTTTTTTCATCAGAGACAATATATATATATATATATATATATAAAATATTGCTTATTTTGCATCATCTCTATCTCTTTTAGAGATATCGTCTTTTCTCTCAGTCCAAAGGCAGAGCATGAGCCAAATCACATCCAATGAGGAAGTTAGCTCATAGACTTTTTTTAGAGATTTATTAGGGGCATGGACAGTGTGTTTTTAGGGCTTATCATCATACAGAACAGCTGGATTTTTACTTACAGGCTGTTATCTAATCGTCAAATTGCGGAATATGTAAAACTACAAAATGCATCTAATCTGATATCCATATTCTTGGTTAGTGACTTCTGAGCTTTTAGCCAGGCTAGTGGCGTGGCTCTAGGGATGGCAAAGTCAGTCATTCCGCCACTTTGGTCCAGACGAAAATATCTAACAACTTTTGGAATTCTATTTTGTACAGACATTCATGAAACCCAGAGGATTAAGTAAAATGACTTCGGTGATCCCATGACTTTTCCTCTAGTGTCATCAGGTCAATATATTGTATTTCTCCAGTAATTTAGTTTATGACCAAATAGTGCTAAATAGCAAATGTTAGCATGCTAACATTATGAACTAAGATCGTGACAATAGTTAAACATTGAGAGAACACTGAGAACGTCAGCATGTTAGTTAACGCTGTCATTGTGAGCATGTTAGCAGGCTGTAGTAAACTCTTATTATTATACTGAACAAAATTATAAGAGCAACACTTCTTTTTTTGCCCCCATTCATCATGAGATGAAGAGTTTCTCTCTGTACACAGAAGGCCTATTTCTCTCAAATATTGTTCACAAATCTGTCAAAATCCATGTTAGTGAGCACTTCTCCTTTGCCGAGATAATCCATCCACCTCACAGGTGTAAGAATATTTGAGAGAAATAGGCCTTTTGTGTACATAGAGAAAGTCTTTGACTTCAGCTCATGATCAATGGGGGCAAAAACAAAAGTGTTGTGTTTATAATTTTTTTCAGTGTATATGCCTATTACAGTAATGTAAGTCCCATTATGATTGTGGTTTACAGTTATGTAACTCTGGGTCTCTACGAGAATGCCATAGGATACACCTGGTAAAGGTTCACGGTTGAGTGTACTTTTATTTTGGGAGCAAAGTCAGGGTGGCCTATGCTACTTTCACATGTGCAGCTGTTAAGGACAATGTAGTTTTAAAAACAACAAACAGAGCAATGCCATGCTTGCGTGTTTGGTGTGAAAGGCTAGTAACTCACTCTCTTGTCATCACTGTCACAGCTAAGAGGCAGGAGGAACATTGATCACTTTAACCTGATTATGTCTGTAATTCATTTCTTCTGATTGTTTCTTGCTGGATCACAGGTGTGTGTGTATGTGTGTGTGTGTGTGTGTGTGTGTGTATGTATATTAGAGAGAGAGAGAGAAAGGGGAAATGATTGTTGATTAAAGAATCCTCTCTGGTTTTTCTTCTCAGGACACAGATTAACTTCACCGTGGCCATTGATTTCACAGCTTCCAATGGTGAGCCTCCCAGTAAACACACACACACTTTAAATGTGCACACACATTCAGAGTTCCACATAAAGACACACAAAGTGCGCTGAATGCCTGTGGAGCGTTTATTCAAATATATGCAGATGGGGAATCAAGTGTTTCCTAATAGCCCTCTCCATCACACCTGGCAGCTAAAGCCAAGCGCAGTTACATGCTATGATGGCCCTGATTAAGCACTGTGTTATCCATCTACCCTCGAGCTCGGTCCTAGCAGGACAGGCGGCGCCAGCAATAGAGACAAACCCGATGTGTTGATGTCTGAGGTTGAGGTGTACTTGAATAAGGGCTAGTAGAGATCTGCAGTTTGTTAAAACGCAGCTTTAATAGCAATATTAAAAGCCCTGTACAGGAAGATTAAAAAACATTTCACTTAATTAGCAGCCAAGTTAGTTCCATCAGTGACGTAACGCATGGTTTTGTTGTCCGACAAAATCACTAGCAGAACCACTAGAGAACTGTTGTTGTTCAGTGGTTCAATATAGCAGCCAGCGATTCGACAAAACAAGTAGTATTAAACAAATATCATTTAGAGGTTCAAGTGTGAAAATGATGCCCATAAAGGACCATTAAGCCCACACAGCCTCTGACAATTCATGTTATTGACAACACAGATGGGTATTTAATTACATGGCTGGGTTTTTGTTTTGTGGGTTAAAAGGAAATCTACAAAAACCTCATTCTTAATTGAGCCTAATTGGACATGTCATGCAAATTTTGACTCAGCAGTTTCCTAAAGATAGCAATGTTTTACCAAAAAAACTCACTACCATTTCCAATACCATTAAAGAAAAGGCATACGTTTGTGTCACATTTTGATCCAAGGAGAAACAAAACTGTGAAATGAAATCAGAACCTGTGCGTGTGTCCTAGGGCTGTGCAATTAATTCCATTTTAACCTCAATTATGAATTTGAATTCCAACGATTATAAAAACAATGAAATTGAAATAAAACGATTATTGTGTTTCACAGTGGCTCGTTTTGTCTTGTGTTATAAATCCAGTGCACCTCTTTCCTTAAGACCAAACTCACTCTCAGCAGGCCATGGCAAGTTTTGTTCCACTCAAGATAATATACTAGATAGACAATAGACAATACTTTTCAATTCCCTTTGTCACAAACAGGTAACCCAGCCCAGCCCACCTCACTCCACTACATGAGTCCCTACCAGCTGAATGCCTACGCAATGGCCCTGAAGGCAGTAGGAGAAATCATCCAGGACTACGACAGCGATAAGATGTTTCCCGCATTGGGATTTGGGGCGAAGCTGCCACCTGACGGACGGGTCTCCCACGAATTTGCCTTGGTATGAGCAGGAGGGCGACCAAGATAGAAGCAGTGGTAGTAAAACGTGGAGTTGTTCCATGCATTGGGTTTATATAATCTCCCATCTGATCTTCAAGGGATGATGGGTGGCACAAGCTCAAACTGAAATCAAAACCAGCTGAATTGTTTTAATTAAACCTCATATAATTCATGAAAAGTCGTCGCAGATAGCTCTTTTATTTCACATATTCTTCACAGTTTTGTACCCAAATTCACTAGCAAGGACCACACCATCAACAGATGTTTTTAAGCGATTTATTGATGAAACAAGATTGTGTGCAAGGCTTGGACGGGCTGTACAGCTTTTGTTACTACGCTGTGGGTAAGCGCTGATGGGAAATCCACTGTCGCACCTGAGCACAACGGACCCCCTCAAAACCAATCCCACCCCTCTGGTGGTATATTTGTCTTATTCCACTCGCTAACTGACAAAATAAAAAATGTGACTTTACATCCATAAAGAGCCTCGATTACGTCAGATTAAAATCCCATAGCTGAATAAAACAAGTTAAGGTTCATTCTTTAGGGATTGGTAACCTAATACATGCACTGAGGAAGATGGCTAAGATTTTTTGCAAGGCTGAGCATACACATTAGATTTACAGTTTGGCTTTGACTTTTTGATACTGTTAATTAAAGTGTATGCCCAGCTGAATTTTCTATGCTTGGGGGACTAAATATGTGACATTTTAATTTGTATTTGTTTCTTTTATTTTAACTTTTGGCTCTGTTTTCAAGAGAAAACACTAGAGAAAGGCAAAGAGAAATGATGGTTCTCAATCCTCTTTTACTCTCTTTTCCTTAATGTAGAATGGGAACCCTCAGAACCCATACTGTACAGGTATTGATGGTGTGATGGAAGCCTACTACCAGAGTCTGAAGTCAGTTGAGCTCTACGGACCCACCAACTTCTCCCCTGTCATCAACCATGTGGCCAGGTAACACATATATGAAAATTGTTTCATTTTATCATTTTTTCCTACTTCCCTCATTTACAGTGGGTACGGAAAGTATTCAGACCCCTTTAAATTTTTCACTCTTTGTTTCATTGCAGCCATTTTCCAAAAATCAAAAAAGTTCATTTTATTTCTCAGTAATGTACACTCAGCACCCCATCTTGACAGAAAAAAAAACAGAAATGTAGAAATTTTTGCAAATTTATTAAAAAAGAAAAACTGAAATATCACATGGTCATAAGTATTCAGACCCTTTGCTCAGTATTTAGTAGAAGCACCCTTTTGATCTAATACAGCCATGAGTCGTTTTGGGAAAGATGCAACAAGTTTTTCACATCTGGATTTGGGTATCCTCTGCCATTCCTCCTTGCAGATCCTCTCCAGTTCTGTCAGGTTGGATGGTAAACGTTGGTGGACAGCCATTTTCAGGTCTCTCCAGAGATGCTCAGTTGGGTTTAAGTCATGGCTCTGGCTGGGCCATTCAAGAACAGCCACGGAGTTGTTGTGAAGCCACTCCTTCGTTATTTTAGCGGTGTGCTTAGGGTCATTGTCTTGTTGGAAGGTAAACCTTCGGCCCAGTCTGAGGTCCAGAGCACTCTGGAAAAGGTTTTCGTCCAGGATATCCCTGTACTTGGCCGCATTCATCTTTCCCTCGATTGCAACCAGTCGTCCTGTCCCTGCAGCTGAAAAACACCCCCACAGCATGATGCTGCCACCACCATGCTTCACTGTTGAGACTGTATTGGACAGGTGATGAGCAGTGCCTGGTTTTCTCCACACATACCGCTTAGAATTAAGGCCAAAAAGTTCTATCTTGGTCTCATCAGACCAGAGGATCTTATTTATCACCATCTTGGAGTCCTTCAGGTGTTTTTTAGCAAACTCCATGCGAGCTTTCATGTGTCTTGCACTGAGGAGAGGCTTCCGTCGGGCCACTCTGCCATAAAGCCCCGACTGGTGGATTGCTGCAGTGATGGTTGACTTACTACAACTTTCTCCCATCTCCCGACTGCATCTCTGGAGCTCAGCCACAGTGACCTTTGGGTTCTTCTTTACCTCTCTCACCAAGGCTCTTCTCCCCCGATAGCTCAGTTTGGCCGGACGGCCAGCTCTAGGAAGGGTTCTGGTCGTCCCAAACGTCTTCCATTTGAGGATTATGGAGGCCACTGCGCTCTTAGGAACCTTAAGTGCAGCAGAAATTTTTTTGTAACCTTGGCCAGATCTGTGCCTTGCCACAATTCTGTCTCTGAGCTCTTCAGGCAGTTCCTTTGACCTCATGATTCTCATTTGCTCTGACATGCACTGTGAGCTGTAAGGTCTTATATAGACAGGTGTGTGGCTTTCCTAATCAAGTCCAATCAGTATAATCAAACACAGCTGGACTCAAATGAAGGTGTAGAACCATCTCAAGGATGATCAGAAGAAATAGACAGCACCTGAGTTAAATATGAGTGTCACGGCAAAGGGTCTGAATACTTATGACCATGTGATATTTCAGTTTTTCTTTTTTAATAAATTTGCAAAACTTTCTACATTTCTGTTTTTTTCTGTCAAGATGGGGTGCTGAGTGTACATTACTGAGAAATAAAATGAACTTTTTTGATTTTTGGAAAATGGCTGCAATGAAACAAAGAGTGAAAAATTTAAAGGGGTCTGAATACTTTCCGTACCCACTGTACATCCTCTGGTTTCCTGTGTTTACTTTTCCACCGTCTTGTTTTTTTATTTCTCATTAATTATTATACCACACGCACAGTGTTTTACACTCGTATTTGCCATCACTGCTTGTATAATGAACTTCAAATCATTTGAGTACATGTGAAAGAACATAGAGTACATTTCTCTCCGCGATTGACACTCAGTATGGAGTTCTCAGCTTTTATGTAATAAGCTCTGTGCAGCAGGCATTGCCAGGTAGCTAACAAGAGTTCAAGGGAGAGAAAATAACTAGGGACACAAACTGAGAAAATATCCGACAGCTGATTGCATGTTTGTATGTGTGTCTGTGTAGACAAGAACATAATTTATGCTGCTGCAGGAAAGCCACACAGACACGTGATCTAGAGAAACATCTGAAATTAAAAAAGACATTAAGAAACCATTCATGCAAATATGTGATTAAAAAGATGTACTCAAATGAAGCCTCTCATCTGGTTACATCACATATTTAGAAGATAGTTTACTGAAATCTTAATTGTGTAGTTACACATAAAGAGGCAAAGGCAATCTGAAGGGAAATGGTGGTACAAGCAGTGAAACAGACTAGGGCTGAGCGATACGGCCAAAAATGTTATCACAATAAAAACATTTCATATCATTCGATATCGATAATTATCACGATATATGTCAAATCGTTATTTCTTTCAAGTTTAAAGGCTGATTTTTCTCCTGAGTGAAAAGTGAAGAAACCAGATGGTTAATTATTTGGTTAAACTTTTCTTTATGTTCAGAAGTTGACAACCACCTACGCCAAACAGTGGATCACTTAACAAATCTGGGGTAGAACATTCAAAACTATTATGATAAAATCTTTTTCAAAAAATATGATAAGTAAATTTTCCTCAACAAAATTAAAGGCTAATTTATCCAAGATTCAAATGAATTAAATCAAATATTTATTGACGATATATTGAACATTTATTATATTGATACTGAGGAACATTATATTGCGATAATTATCATTATTGTTTTATTGCCCAGCCCTAATACAGACGCAGCGGCTTGCTTTTTATTTTACCTGTAATGTCACCTGAATACCTTTTACTCCCTCTTCCCATCAGACTCCCTTTATGAACTTCCCTCTTTGCTTTTGTCCGCTCCTCTCTAACATGTTGTTTTTTATTACACAAACGTATCACTAATATATTTTACTGTAATTACATCGAAATCTTGATATTCTCTCTTTTTAAAGAGCAGTAAAACACTTCGGGAAATACTTGCTTTCTTGCAGAGAGTTAGATGATACCACTGTCACTGTCATGTCTTTACACGAGTACGGCGCTGAAGATGGGGAGGCAGTTAGCTTAGCTTTGTTTTGCAGAGGAGGCACTTGCCAAAGTTCGAAAATACACCTACTATCACACTGACTGCTAAGGGGTAGCAGGAAATCTAGGGTTTGGGCCAAAATGATGACAACACAGGCAGATCTGGTTCAGTGCAGTGTGTCAACTCCAGACAAAATAGACTGACAATCCCTATCCCTCATGTTAGTTTCCTCATGTTTCCTGGATTGTAGATTTCCTTGTGTTGTTGGACTGCTGGTTTTCGGACTTCGCTTCACTTTTAGGACTTTTTTCTTTCCTGGTTTTGATCTCTGCTTGCCATATCACCAGCCAGTAAGTTTTGCCCCTGTTGTGTTTGGTGTTCTCATTAAAACTACTGCACTGAACCTGCTCTGCCTCTGTTGTCTGCATTTGGGCCCAAACCCTAGATTTCCTGCTACCCCCTTAGCAGTCAGTGTACAGCAAGACTAAACATAATAGTGAGGACAAAATAATGAGACACAGGACACTCAATCAGGGAGGAGCTTCACGCAAGGGGGAAGTGAAGTGAACCTTAATGAGATGAGAGAAAAATACTGAAGTAAAACAGGAAACACACAAAAAGGGAAAGTAAAAGTTTGCAAAGACACAAGAGGAAGCATTTAACAAAATAAAACAGGAAATAATAAAGCCACAACCATGATGCCTACTAGCACCTCTAAAGCTCACTAATTTACATGTTGTATCTTGTTTGTTTAATCTAAACGCAAACAGAACTTTAGAGTTGCTAGTGGCATAAAGACTGGAAACGGGGATACAGCTGGCCTGATTCCAAATTAACAATGTCTGCCTTCCAGCACCTCCGAAACTAATTAACTAACATGTATCTTGTTTGTTTAAACCATACAAAAAACTGATGTGTAAAGTGTTTCACAGGGGGTAATTTGTTATGTGTTGCACTTGAGGGGTTGGAAGGATTAACCAAACAAGATAAAATAATTATTGATTTTGGGGTATTTTATTACTGGGTGGATCTTCTCATCTAACTCTTGGCAAGAACTACTATTCCTAGTCTTCCATTTTCTCCCACAGTTCTATTCCCACTGTTCTCTCTTCTTTTTTTGTTTTGTTTGTGTCACCCTTTCCTACTGAATTCTCTAAGTCTGCCCTGCAGTTTTGTTCGTGCCGCCCTGTACCATCTGTTACTGAAGCACTCTTCCTGGTCAAGGCAAATGACAGAACGCAAAACACAAACATTCTAATATAAAGTAGCAAACAAAATCTTTTAATCCAAACACGCAATCCCTACAAGTATAAAATATATGAGATATATTTACAGTAAACCCCTACCCTCTCTCAACCAGAATACATCTCATTAACTTTGTTTTTGCTGTTTGCTTTTAACTTCAAGAATTGGTTCAGCCCAGCAGCAGACTAGTCAGCACATATTCTACAAACTCATCCTCCTACACCTCGTTAAAAACTTTTAAAACTAGTTGGAGATAAATGTATCTTTCTGCCGCTGTATTGCCTATTTGCCAACTTCAAGCCTGTTTACAGGATTTTACCAAGTACGGGCTGTTGTCCTCACCCTGTTTTTTTCCCTCATCCCTCATTTGAAATCCCAGCATCTTCACCTCCTCTCCGCTGTTTGTCGACCGCCCTCGTACTTCCATAACAACCCCGCTTTTTCTCCAATATGTCTTGCTTCACTCCCACATACAGCTTAGTAGTTATTCACTTCTCCTCCCCTGCTCTTCAACGCTCCATCGTTCTCATTCTGCTATGTTGTGATCATCTACAGTGAGAGACATTTAAATATCAGTTATTTCCGGTGGGGCGGAGGCAGACGTACACATAGATCCAACCTCCTGGTGCAGTAAGGTGAAGCTTAGCAGAAGCCGAAGCGACTGAAATAATCTTAGTGTGTAAATAAAAGTGACAGTCGGTTCACGACTCACATGGGAGTGAAAAATCACACTGAACTTTGCAGGAGAAATTGAAAGCCATATTGAGCTAAGGATGTCATTTTCAAAGGATGTGTAATGCCTTATTTGCACTCAACTATTGTCTCGTGCTATATTTTTTATCTGGGAACAAGCTGGGTACTTTAATTAAAACGGTACCGTATGATGAAGATGATTTTGTGTGTTTTTGTGTGTAGGTATGCAGCTTCAGTGAAGGATGGCTCCCAGTACTTTGTGCTCCTCATCATCACAGATGGCGTCATCTCAGACATGGCCCAGACCAAGGAGTCTATTGTCAACGTAAGGATATCTACTGTAGCTGTTAGCCTGACCCCTAAAAAACGATGAAACTAGACAGCTCACGAAAACCTGAGTCATTCTGTTCATTCAAAGCCTCTACAGTACTTATGCGGTGGTGTGTGTAGTATTTCATAATGCATAGTGGCTTGAACTTAGAGCAAAAATCTGTCTTTGCATGATAACTGGAAAACAGCTGTGCCAATATTTCCTAATTAGGCCTTGTTAGGCTGGTCAATGCCTGTATTGACAATGGAATTACTGCATGGTAAGGCACATATTGATTGCCTTACAAACACGCAATGTAAACCTACCAAGTCCACGCAGTGTAAAAGTCTCAGAGTGTGCATAAACATAAGGGTTGTTTTTTTTTGTATTGACACATATTTTGCTCATCGCTGCATATCCATCCTTGCTTGCAATGCCAACAGAAATATAATGTGACTGGAGGGCATTTACTACTGTAATTCATCCTCCATCCTTCCTCTCCATCACTGTCAAGCCGTAGCATGCTCCAGAGGGAAGCCAGAGTGCGATGCAGAATGCAAACAAAATGAATGGCAGCCATTTTTGTGAAGGCAGTGATCCATCTCAGGCCTTTGAAAGCAGAGACAGAGAGGAGAGGATGGGTTAAGGAGAAAAGGTTGCTGAAACAGGAAAAGGCTGCAACAGGGTAGGGGGAGGTGGCAGAGATGAGAGAGTGGGGGAAAAAAAGAGAGCAAAGGGCGGCAGAGATGTAAAAAAAAAAAAAGACCTTTATCGAGGGGAGCAAAAATGAAAATTTTTTGTTTTGAAAATATCATCTATTGCTCTGTTGCCTGAGTTTTTTTTTTACATTAGACAAATACACTGAACACACACACGTCATTTGAAATCTGTCTCCGAGCTCGGGCCGCGTTGCTGATTCTCTCGTCTCTAATATTATTCACGCAGGGCTTCAGGAGGTGCTGTGGAAAACACACACATCAAACATTCACACACATACTTACACATAATGTATGCACTTATAAATGTTGGCAATCCACCATGACCATTGATGCTTTGTTTACCAATGATGAAGATCACGGCTGTGTATGTTCACCTGTAGCTTATCCTTATCCTGCTAACAACCAACATCGGTGGACACGTGGTTTCAAATGTATCCAGTATTCATTGTTCCTCTCGTCTCGTCTCCTACAGGCCTCCTGTCTGCCAATGTCAATCATCATCGTGGGGGTGGGGCCAGCAGAATTTGATGGTAAGTCAACAAGAACTTTTGTTAGTAATATTTATGTAGAAGAAACTTCTGCTTATGCATAGAATGTATAGTAGTTGTATGTCTTTTGCAGGCTTTTACTGGCCACTCTGTAGGTGTTTTGATAGAATTTAACAACAGTAAGAAAAAAAATGTGTGTTTTTTCTTTTTTAAATTCTCCTCAGCCATGGTTGAGTTGGACGGTGATGAAGTCAGAATCTCATCCAGAGGAAGATATGCTGAGAGGGACATTGTTCAGGTAGACACTCTTTCTTTCTCTCGCACCATTCCCCACTGCTATATTACATATGAGCTCTGCAACTTGACCACCTAGATCCTTTCATCCTAATGACGGAGGTGACTAGGTATTTTAAATGTGATATTGATTTTGAGAACCACCAGCAGTTGAAATCATGGCCAAATTAACCAACTAGAAGGCACCGGGGCAAATATTAGTTGAGGGGACCCTATTAACCCTGTGATCCTCCCTTTCTCTGTTTAATGTTCACAATTTTGGTAATTTAACTAAACACATTAATTTAGACATATGCAACTTAGAAGCACGAAACTGAGGTAACAAATGTCTTAAAAACTAGATCAATAAAAGGTCTCTTATAATGTCAAGTAGCACTTACTGGTGCATATTCCCAAACACAATAACAATCAAATCAGTTGACACACAATAAGCCTGGAGCTTTTGGGGCCCCTGGAGTTCTAGAGCCCCAGGGCAGTTGCCCCACTACACCAGGTCATAAGACTGCTGCCAGTCATCATTCGTTCACTTAATTATGCAAAAGTATCAAAACTCATTCAGTGACACAAAATCAAACCTTTGCAGAAGGATTTCAATGTTGATGTATTTTAAAAACGCATGTCCTATCCAGGTCGCACATGCACACAGCTCCCCAGAATCTGAGTCTCTCTCATAAAAGTGGATGAACAGAGACCCTCAGCTCTAACTTTGCCCTAATGTACGGCTTTAAAAGCCCACAGGGCAGCTCGGGGCCCGCAGTCAGTCAAACAGAAGGGAACTTGGAAACGCACTATGGACAGAAGTAAAAACATGTGAGTTTTTCACCAAGCTGCTACAACTTAGCCATATCAGAGGGCACCTTTTTACTTTGCCTCTTTGGCAGTTCTTCCTTTCCTTCCATTTTCCCATGTGGAGTTATGATATGAAGAAGTTCCCTACTGAGTGGAAAACAGCCACAGAGACAACAATTGTGTTGAAAATGCACAAAACAATGCTATTGAAAGTAGATTGGCAGCCCAAAATCCAAAAAGTTAATTGGCATTACTTCAGCCTGTATTCATATTTAATTGTAGTTTGTTTTGCTGTAATGATCAGCCCACAACGACAAGTTTTCATACTTATGTCACTGCCTGGCATCAAGACAAAAAACAGAAATGCAAACATTCAGAGTGAGACGTTTGTTTGTTTTTTTCCTCCTCCATGACCTTTTATACTCCCGCAGTCATGTCTTTTTCCCTCACACCCTGCCTCAGCCCACGTGGGCGAAGGAAGCACGCTCGTTAGTTGGCTTTTTAACAAGCTGAAGTACACACACACATACACACACGGAGGCATTCTAAAGGAGAAAAGACCTTGAGATGGTGTAAAACTAAGTTTCAGCACTGGAACATTACACCAGTTCTGCCTACAGGCTCTCATTATCAGCTAGCTAATAACCCTGACTGACATGGTGAGGTTTACTTTTCGCAGCGAGGGTTTCCAATACAGATTGGCCTCTTGTATGATCTTGTGATTGTAGGTGACAGCAGTTCGTTAAGCAAATGGTATGGGGACAGCATCATATCTGTCCTCATTTAGTTCAGCAGTATCATCCATGTAAGGGGCATTCAACCTGTGAAGATCCGTGACAAGTAACTGTCATCGACATACAGTGTGCCAGCATTTATCTCATCACAACGAGCAAATTCGGATTGTGAAGGCGGCAGCAGTCTTGAGATGTAGGTAATGAGTCACAGCAGGGGGGTCGGCGATGGTTAAAGAAGTCAACAACAAAAACAACAACAACATGTGTTTGTAAGTCTGGATTTGAATGTGACTTCTGTTTCGAGGTGAAGGGGCACAATGTGTGGTAGCTGCTTCTTTAATGAAACTTTGTTGAGACCCAAGACATTATAGTGCATTCATTCAAGTCCCAAAAAGGAAAGCTTATTGTAAATATACACAAACTTTACAAATAAAGTAGTGATTTAAAGAATAATTCCCTCTATTCAAGGTACATTGTTGTTTATTGGTCATTATACAGCACAAGGCTGCATAACGAAATGAAATTTGTAATTCCTTCGTGCTACAACATATAATTAGGTGGAGGCCTATGTTAAAATATGGTAACATATAAAATAAAATAATACAATACAGTTATTTATATAAATATACACACCCTGAACATTTCACTGTGCATTGTTTGAATTTGCATCTGAGGTGAATGTAAACAGCAGCAACCAGATGACAATATGATCATCTTCCCAATAAAGAGTCTGACATTTGGCAAACAGAGTCCATCTTGACTGCATTTGTGCACCAAGCATCATCGATGTGAAACACGGAGTCCACCTCCTCTTGTCGGGGTCTTGGAACATGGACCACCTCCCGAGTACTTGATCCAGGATGTTGATGGGTCTGGTCTCTGTAACGATGTGGGCAGAACAGACTCTGAATTCCGTTGCTTAGTCAACATGAGTCCCATTTTGTCAAGACCGGATCTTTAGGAGCTGAATTTAGTCCAAGCTGGGCCAGCATGGCTCCTCTCCTGGCTCTCTTTCCTCTCCTCTGGTCAATCACCGCACCCTGGTCCTTTTGTTTGGGATGGGTGGATCGTGGTCTGCTGCTCTTTAATCCAAAAACCCCGTCTTCATCTTCCAGTGACTGTATTTATGTCAGAGGTAACGCATGTTTTGGCTGGAAAAAAACAGATAAGAAACAAAAGTGTAGCGAAGTTTGAAGGAGATTCCAGCTGCTGCTTCTAAAAGTGCTGCCATAGCAAGCTTTTCATTTCTTAATTGAACCTTCGCTAAGCCACGCCCCGAATACGCAATTGGCAAATCACACCGCAGTATAGGACTCGCTAACTGAGGTCCATCAGTTTCATGGCCATGCTCAAACGCTGTTCCTGGGGGACTTATAATAATGACAATACCCAGAGAGGTTGAAAGGAGAAGTATGATTTATTCCCTTTCCAAAATGTAAAACAAATCCAGAAAAATGAAGGCTGTAGATTGTTATATAGTAGTAATGTTAGTTAGCTAACGCTAGCTAAATTACTACTGAATGTAACGTTATAAAACCCTACTGTTTTAATGATTGTAATAGTAACTATAGACCTACCCAGCCGTACAGGCACAGTTTTGATTCTTAATATTGATGTACTCTTTCTCAGTAGTGAGGTAATGTGGTAGTTCACTTATACTCTGTGATCGGTAAGGCTTTAGCTTCTGTCTTTATTTTTTTTCACATCAGTTTGACAGCCTGAATAAACCTTCAAATGCACAGTGTAATTGCAAAACTGTCTGCTTCTTTCTGAGATTGCGTGGCTTAGCGTAGGGTCAATTCTCTTCTTTTTCTTTCTTATTAAAACTTATTTTCATAGTTTTGATAACAGGAATAAATAATAATAGATAATCCTTTCAATTATGATAACATTTCAAACTCATCTAGTTAATTTCTGAGACCTGGGAACATGATGTCCAGTAGCTACTGACAGGGCAATAAACACAAGCCGGCAGGCAAACAGGTTGAAAAGAAGTAAACAGTTTAGCCAGATTATCTAAAACACTTAACTGGCGGTAAAAGCTAAAGTAAACATACCCAAAATTACCTCCCTATGCACAGGATCACTGTGTGTGCACACTTATAGGAAGTCATAGTTGAACTAGGAAGTCAGCCTGTAAACTGTGATGATTAACAAGTTTGGATAATCTTTTTTTTCTCAATTGGATATTGGCCAGAAGTGACCAAAACACGTTAAATAAATCCATTATGAATCAGTTATGTTAGAGCTAGAGCTAACGAGTTCTTGGTATGTAGCTGCTGGCCCTGTGTCTGTCTCCTCTCTCTGTCTTAAAAAACCTCAAGCTGCACAATTTCACACCGGCAGCTCCAACCGGCATCAGCAAACTTTAATTTCCTAATAGTCTCAGTAAAAACGTGACATTGCCAATTTACACTTTCTTTTTGTCCACATTTGCTGCTTATCTCATTGACTTTGGGGATCAGGTTCTTCACCAAGTGTTGTTTAAGAGAAAGTTTTGACATTCAATCCTTTCCTGTCCACCAGACAACCAGATGCCAGAGTTTCATTTCAGAAAATAGGGCGAATCTGCAGGGCTTTAATTAGAGTAGACCTTCTTCTCTGTAGCAGTGCCAATTTGTGATCTATGCTGGAAAGATGATTGGATTTTTATAAAGATTCATAAGAGCTCCCTCCTCTTAAAATAGTGAACAAAGCAATTGAAAAACAAAGAGGATGAAATGTGTTATATGATTTGAAATCATCATTACCCCTGATATTTTTTGCTTCCACACATTTCACCCTCTGCTCTTAACCTTCTTTCTCACCTCTGTTCTTCCACCTGCTTTTTTTTCTTCATCTCTGTGACTTTTTTCCTCATCTTTTAATTGCGAAGCCGTGCCCCCTTTAGTTACAGTTGGAGCTTTCCATTCTCGTACAGTATAAATGCAGTTTACAGTGACCATGGCATAACCATGGCAGGTTTATCCCTCAAAATCAAAATCAAAATCTTAGTATTTTTCAAACAATGGGTCCTGGTTGTCAGACAGAGGTAGACAAAAGGCTGGTTATCATTTCTGTCCAGCAACTGACAAATTTGCGGCTAAAATAACAACTGTCTCTAGTCGACTGTATCTGCTGTGTAGCTAGCTAGTTAATTAAGGACTATATACATGATGAGTTGATAATCTAATAACAATCGATTCTAGTTAGCCAGGCATGCTAATGTTTGCAGCGTATGTTAGAGCAGATAAACACACTGTTAATCCATTCCTTACACTTATATCACCTCTCTCACTACAGCCCTGTGCACAAGGCTTCAATATGTGAAAAAGCTTGAAAGGACAGCCATGCCTATTTACTTCTTCTTTTGAAAAAAGTGCCTTTAATCAATTTCTTCCCCTCTCTTTCCTCTCAGTTTGTCCCATTCAGGGACTATATAGACCGGACGGGGAACCACATCCTTAGCATGGCCCGGCTCGCCAAAGACGTCTTGGCCGAGATCCCCGACCAGTTCCTCTCCTACATGAGAACCCGCGGGATCAAGCCGTCGCCAGCCCCGCCTCCCTACACGCCGCCAGGGCAGCCCATCCAAACCCAGATATGAGGAGCCAGGAGGAGGAAGGTTTCTGAGTCAGGGGTTAGCTGAACTTCACGTGCAAAATACTTCCATTTCCCTAAAGCTGCTCTCCATGCCTTGTTCTTGTGTTCAGGGAGCTGCATGTCAGACCAGGAGAGTGTTACTTTTGCGGACAGGAAAAGCCAATGAGAGTCTGTTTACTTCCACTGTCAAGCATTCCTGTTACTGTCTGGAACCTGGACAGGCTTTAGAGAGAATTTGGAGAGTCTGAATTCAAGCTGGGAAATAAAGAAGAAAGGAAAGAAAGAGGAAATGAAGGACACCTCTTTGGAAATATTGTAAAGAGAATGTCTCCAGACAAACTTAAGGAATCACTTGATCTTAAATGAACTTTTTCTGTAAATAACTGGACATATGGAATTTCTTCTTTCTCTGTCTCTTTCTCTCTATCTCTTTCCAACTCACTCATTGTTTACAGTAAACGGTAACAAGGATTTTTACTGTTCATACTTTTTATATACACAAAGTTTCAATATGAAGCTTGTAATATTCTCTCTCTCTCTCTTTCTCTCTCTCTCTTTCTCTCTCTCCCTCACTCTCACGTGTGTGTCAGGTAGCAGCAGTGCAGGTCCTGGTAGCCCTTCTGTACCGTACCGTGCTGTACCGTACTGTATTCTAGTGTCCGTATTAACCTTTTGCATGAGTGTAGCCTCAGTCAAGTGCATGCATATAGTGGCCCTGCACTACCTCTTCTACCCATCCGTTTGTCTGCCTGTCTGTCGGGAGTGAGTGTCTGTCTGCCTGTATCTCCATTTGTCCCTTCACCCTGTCTGTCTGTCTGTCTGCCTGCACTGCTGTCAGGCCTGAGAAATCTGTCTCCCTGTTACAGCTTTTCTTTCAGTCTCTCTCTCTCACTTTCTTTTCTTTAATGCCTCTGTCACTTTACTAGCTGTGTTTCCATCCAACTTTTCTTTTGCAGGTTAAAATAGACGAGCTGAACAGAAAATGCATAATTTGGCTTTGTTCATCAGAAGACGAATGTGATGAATAGCGAAGGAATTTCCTTTGGTTCACTTGACACATTCGGCTTTAAATGGTTCATATTCACTGCATACCGCTTCCAAATTAATATTTGAAATTTTAAAGATCTGTTCCACCATTTTTCTACTTTTCATCTGCGCCATCATCAGGTCAAAATGTAAAACATTTCCAATACTTTGTTTTTTGACCAAATATCTTCATAACATTCCCATCAGCCTCAGCTGTACTTTGTGTTTAGTGCTAATTAGCAAATGTTAGCATGCTAATGCACTAAACTAAGAGGTTGAACATTATACCTGGCAAACATCATAATGTTAGCATTTTTATTATGCATGCTAGCATGTCAGCATGCTGACAATAGATGCAGCTGTTCAACCTGACAGAGCATCATGGCTGTAGACTCTCAAAGAAATATGGCCAACTTTAGCAAACATTTAAGAACAAATGTATTCCTTTTTGACATTTCAAATGCTTGTTTGCTTAACCCAAGAAGATGAAAACTCAAATTGTGCAATTTCTGTTCTCCAGCCTTTTATATTTTTACGTAGCATTTCATTGACTTCTGAATGAAAGCATAGCTACTCTCTCTCTCTCTCTCTCTCTCTCTCTCTCTCTCTCTCTCGCTTACTCTGTTCTCTTCCAAACTGCCTTGGCAATAGGAATGCCCACGTGCCCAGGGGTTTCGTCTCATTGTGTCGTCTAACACCACGTCCCTATCCCATGTTCAAAACGACAGCAGCTGCTCTCAAACTAAATACTGTTTGAGCATAAAGAGCCCAGTGGTCAAAAATGCAGAGAAAAACACACTTTCCCTATGTTGGCTTTTTGTTCCATTTTAATTTTTTGGTGTGTAATTTTTATTGCACCTTTAGCTTTGAAATAGCTTTTTATATGTTTGTTTAACGGTGTATATTTATCTGTGCCAATCATATGTAAAAGGATGATTTGTACAATTCCTGTCAGTCACTGACGACATCCAACAAGTCTCTGATTTATTACCGAATGATCGTCTCTAGGTGACGTCTAATGAAGAATGAGAGTTGTGTTTTTGTCATGAATGTGGAAGGATTGTTCAGTGTTGTAATGAAAGTTTGTTTCAATGATGAGTGAAAATGTGAATGAGATTATATTAAATTACATGTTTAAAAAGTCTTACAAAGAGTTAGAATGCAGGGACATTTTAACATTTATTGGATAGTGAGTGAGTCACATTGCAGAAATGTAAAAGGATATTTAAGCATTGCAGTGATCTTAAAACTTACAAATGTGATTATTTGTAACTGACTTTTTTTGTACACAATTTGTTTTGAATATTCGACATTGCTGCCTTTTCTAGTTGCTTGAGATTCCCAAGTTCATCTTTCTTTCTCATAATCCTCTCCTGTATTGCCACTGTAGCAGAGTGCAGATATGGTACAAGTGTGTGTGTGTGTGTGTGTGTGTGTGTGTGTGTGTGTGTGTGTGTGTGTGTGTGTGTGTGTGTGCGTGTGTGTGTGTGTGTGTGTGTGTGTGTGTGTAAGCCAGTGCAGTCACATTACCGCAGCCACCCAGTGCGTTTAAAGCATAGCTGGACACATCACCAGAACTGCAGGTCAAAATAACGAGCTCATTGCTGCCTCAGCAGAGCTACTATAAACTCACATCAGAGATGAGTTTATTAGTTTAGTTTTAGTTTTTGTTGATTGGAAAGGCAGGAAAGGGAGTTTTGGGGGATGTGAGAATACCTGCTACAAGTCAGCTAAGTGTCTGATGTTAGTCTTTAGTGACAATTTAGCACGAGTCCCTTCTAGTAGAGAGATATTTCTGTATTCAAAGATAAAAGCAAGCTTTTTTCAGCAGCCACTGTCAACACAGATGACAAATACGAGAAGACGTTTAAAGAGGTGGTATTATGCTTTTTGGCTTTTTCCCACTCCTTTATTGTTATATTTGTGCATGTACTAGGTTTGCAAAGTGAAAAAGCCCAAAGTCCACCCCAAAGGGAGTTCTTATCTCCCACAGAAAACAATGCTTGTCCCTTCTTCCCTTTCATAGTCCGACACGCCCTCAAAAACACCGGTGGAATAACATGCAGCACACGCCTCTCCTCTCCCTTCCAAACACTAGCTACCCTCCAGGCACTCAATAGAAAAGTTGTAACTGTGATGTAGAGACAGAGCTCGGTTAAAACTTTATGGATGAAAGATACTTTTGTTACAGATTAATAACTCACCACTCTGAAACTCTTGCTCCAGTCTATGTTGCCAAGCTGGTCGGCAACATGTACTGCTGAACCGAAGCTGTGTTTACCGGCTTCTCACTGAGCATAAATGAGCATAATACCACCTCTTAAAGGAAAACTATTGTTTATTATTTTTGTCGCCCTGGCTATTGGTTTTATCAGTTATGATAACACTGCACCCATCAAAGTAATTGTGAAATTACTATAAATTCTAGTTGAACACACGTACTAGACTAAACTAGAAAAGCGTCAAATAGACTCAGTATTAGTTAGACAGCAATATAAGTTTGTGAAGCTGTTGTCGCAGAACCTGGAGAGTATTAAATAGAGAAAGGATGCATTTTTATTGCTTATGAATTCACTTTTTTTATTTGTAAGAGGTGTCATTTCTTCTTTCAAAACTTACATCATCTCGCTTTAAATATTTAAACATGACCCAACAGAAATAATGTGACTTAGGGAGCGAGGTAAAAATAAATGTACTCACCTTTTTGACGACTTCCACATTGCTCCGAGCCATTTTTTAACTTGATAATTGGCTGGCCAGATTCAAACCCAGGACGCTGTGGTTATGTGGTGTATATACTATACAAACAGCCTACAGGATGCCCCTGTCATGCCGCTAACTACCTCCTGCTTCAAGTCATGTGTTCCTCAGAGAATCCTTTCAGGGAAGGAAAATGCATCTCTTACTTCACGCTCATTTCATCTAAATGACCAGGCTTGTCGACACAGGATGGAAGGAAAGAAAGGCCGTAACAACTGTTATTACGGCAACTTAAAACTGTGAAATCTAAGCAAAATGCTTAATGTAATGTAATTGTAATTACATCACCGCTGAATCTATAGCTTTTAAATATGTTATTGTGAAAACAATATATCTGAATTAATTTGGTTTGAAATACCTTCTTTGAAATATTTCCTAGGTAAGTTGTGCAATATTTCTTTTTTTTAGGGTTAGCAAATTCAGTCATTTGGTGTCCATATAACAATTCAATCAGGACAGACTTCATTCTGACTGATAAGATACTTTATTGCCTTGTGTACAATAACATATGTGAATGTCAATAGGCAATTAGACCCCAGTGTGACATCATCATATTTTAAAGAGGATGTTGAAGCAGTGAGTAGTATCGAATACCCCCCTGATGGAGTCTAGACACTGGATGGGATGAGGAGTGGACTTGACCTAGGCCTGGTTATGATAAACTTGAGGTGAATGGGTCAGAGGAGGGTTGTAGCGATTTTGCATTGAAATGACAGCTGACAGCAAGCAGAACAGATTTAAGGTTTGACAATGTGGTTGGCAACATGTGGTTGCTTTAACTGAAAGCTTAAATGCCGACAGTCGGAGAGAGCAGAGAGGATAAATGAGTGTGGTATAAAGATAGTCTTCCTGATTACATTTATGCTGAGCTTCCTTGTTCAAGTTACTCAAAACTAATTGGTCATTGCTGATCTAAATGTTGCTGAAATTGGATTAGTGAAATTTAGACACTGGATTTCAAGCCAAAATTTTTAACGCTTGGGTTACCAAGGATAAGCAGTCGAGCCTGAATTGAGTCAATCAAACCTCCATCCTATCAGTCACATGATCCAAAGAAGAGAGGTTCAGTTGAGTGACTTCAAACCTTGAAACTTGAATTTTTTTAATCTGGATTTGTGCACCTGGAAAAAAAGTTTTTGAAATTGCATAAAAAATCTTCTGGAAATTTCAAAGAGGTGAATTTAAACTACAATAATTCAGAGAGATGGGTTTCAGATTAATATATTTCAATGATACGAATTCAGTGGTATTAAATGTTCAACATTTCTGCAGTTTCATTTGCTAATAAAATGTTTTATTATCTTGGCCTTGCATTGCTTCCATAGTCACACCCATTATGGCATCAGTGCCAGTTATTTTGTGTTTGTCTGCTTTGGGTGCATAGATATTATTATAACTTTTCAACCTTTTAATATGTTCCACCCTTTTTCCATCATGCAACTTACAGCTCACTAACATTGCCAAGCCCTACAAAAGTATGTATAGTGTGTTTGTGTGTGTGTGTGTGTGTGTGTGTGTGTGTGTGCATGCATGTGTTTGATATAAATATACTTTGTGTGTGTGTGTGTGTGTGTGTGTGTGTGTGTGTGTGTGTGTGTGTGTGTGTGTGTGTGTGTGTGCATGTGCGTGCCCGTGTGGCACCTTTATAAGAGTGTTTTAATAGACCATGTGAGGTGTTAAGACACATAAGATCTTTGTTTACTAAAGCTATCCAAATAATATATTGTATGCTTGTCATATCTTCTTTACAACGTGCACTATGTTTGCATGTACAGTTTTACAAAGGATGCACCAGTTCCTTTTGTTAAAAACTGAGTGTTTTGAGATATAAAAATCTATATTAAAATTAACTGTACAAAATGGCCTTAAATCTTTCACAGATTTTCTTGGAATTGTGCGATGCCTTCTTCAGAAACATGAATTGTTTAAAGGAATTAATTGTTATCTATTTTGTGTCAGTGTTTATATTGCTTTCTGGTGAGTTTTCTTTGCACAAGTTCAATTATGAGAAAAAAATATCTTGTACTTTTTTGAAATTGTGATTAATCAGAGAAAGCATGGCTGAAGTACTGATTGTCTGATAATACATATAATAGATGACTATTTCTGTATCGAACTATGGATTTTTAAATAAATATTCATATTAAACATAAAAGTTGCTGGAGCTCAGTTGGAGTTTTTTCCCTTAAATTTTCTCTTCTCTACACATTTTTTCCCTTTCCTTAGTGTTTGTGTTTTCTCTTTCTGTCATTCCTCTCCTCTTCCTCTGAATCTATCATCTGCCTGCTGAGATGCCAACTACTTCCTAAAATCTCAAATTAAAAAATATTTATTCCTCAGTATTTATTTCTGAGAGTAATTGGCACGTTTAAAGAGCCAATTACTGACTTAAAGGCTGTCAATGCCCTGTCAGATGAAAATACCCAAATTTGTACTGCTTATCTGCCGGGGGTTGATAGGGTTCTTCATCAACACTCAATAGCTCAGCAAGTACTTTGACAGGTGCTGAGATCCATGATTTTCAAAAGTCACGATCCAGCTTGTTTTTGTCAGCATTTTAAGATAATCTCAGTCTCACTGCTGCCATTCAGAGTGAATGGAAGTGACAGGAGGGCTTCAGAGTTTTGCTGCAGTATAGTGAATGTCTTCCTACTGCTACTATGAGAGAGGTTAACAAAGTTCATTAAAACTTTGAAGGAATTGGTTAACATTTTGGGAAATACACATTTATTTTCTTCAAATGACAAATGAGAGGATCGATTTCACTCATGTCTGTGCATTAGAAGCTGGAGCTTGGCAGTGATTAGCTTAGCTTTGATTGCATTAAAAGCAGGGAGAAAGCTAGATTTGCTAAACAAAATATACATACACCTACCAGGACCTCTAAAGCTCACAAACTGTTAAATCAACCTTTTTGCAAGCTGTTCTCCCTGCTAATCACCTCCCACCGCTAGCTTAATGCTAAACGCGCAGACTTTAGAGTGGTATCGTTCTTCTCATATAACTCTCTGCAAGATAACTAAAGTAAGAGTAATTCCCACAATGTTAAACAAATTTCTTTAAATGCTGTGCATGCAAATCTGTAATACACCTTTATTCAGTGTTTTCAGCCAAGTACATTACAAACATAAGTAGGTTCATGAGACCGTGTTACAATCAACCAATTTTTTCAATGCAAAAAGCCTCCACATATTTCCTTGATTGTCCTCCAAAGAAAGCCAACTGCACCATTATATTCAAATAAAAGAATATGGGAAGGAATAATGACCCTTTGGTTGAATGGTCACAACCTGTGGGCATTGACATTGGGAACCAATAATCTTGTGGGTTGGTTGGTGCATGAGTAGAATTAATTAGGGACTTGTTCTTATGTTTATGTTGCTGCTTTGATGCATTTTGCTAAAAACGTTCGAACCATCAGCTCACATAAAATTACTTATAAATGCCCTGTCTATTGCTGTAACTTTATTGGCTTGTTGCTACTCACTGTCATAGCAAGACACCACAGGCAACCTGCATTCACCAACCTGTAACTCTCTGGTAACAACCCTTCCTGTGAAGCTTCTTGTCTGCTTC